CCATTTTTTTTTATTTAAAACTTACCAAACCATAATAAACCTTTTTTGATATTAAAATCTGCAATTGTTTTTTTGATTGTAAAATTATATCTCCTCGATTCAGCACCATGGAACACTGGGATTTATCAGAAGAGGGAAAGGAAAATGAGGAAAAAGATGAGGTGAAGACAATGAAACACGAGAGAATGGGAAAGGAAAATGGGAAAAAGAAAAAACAACAACAAAAAGAAGCAGAAGAAGAAGAACAGGAAGAGGAAAATGTTGATGAAGAAAAGGATGAGAAGATGAAAAAATCTCGACTTGAAACCATTTTGAAAGGAGGAAAAGCGGCAAAGAAAAAGGATATTGAAGAAGTTGAAGAGAAGCCGAAAAAAGTGGTAAAAGGGGAGGATTCTGAAATTGTAGAAGAAATTTCTGAAGTGAAACCGAAAAAATCTGAGCGATTAAAGAAGAAAAAGAAAACAAAAACGGTGAAAAGCGAAGAAGAAAATGAAGGAAAAGATGATAGAAAAGAGGAGCGGAGAATGGAAATTCCTGATGAATTCACAACAACTTTCATCATTCCCACTGAATTGTCAAGGATTGATCGGGTAGTAAACTTGTTTTTTTTTCATAAATTGATCTTTTTCAGATAAAGAGCAACTTGCAGACACTGCAATTGCCGGATTTATCCCGAAAGACTTGTCCAGGTGAGAATACCGGTATTGCAACTGATAATTGCAACAGTTGTACAGTGATTTGGAGGTATGTACTTTAGCCTAGTACTACAGGCTAGTACAGGCTAGTACTTTAGCCATTCGAGTACTATAGCCATTCGAGTACTATAGCCATTCGAGTACTATAGCCATTCGGATACTATAGCCATTCGAGTACTGTAACCATTCAAGTACTATAGCCATTCGAGTACTATAGCCATTCGAGTACTGTACTGCTTTCCAGATGCGGGAAAATGGATGTTCGTGGGTGTTCTCTCGTTCCTTTCAATCCTCATCCCATTATGGCTTATCTGGAGATGGTTTAGGTAAACATTCTTTAAAAAACCTAACAAAGAACCGTAATACAAAATATAATCTAGTAATCCTTTACTACAATAAGATTTCTTTCCAGAAAACGTGGCTCTGTCGCTCGTCGTCGTCGTGGTGAGGCCTACAATTTGTTGCCCGTTGAAGAGATGGACTATTAAAAATTTGATTCAATTTCAAAAACAAATTTTTGCGCTAGATAAACTTTTCAGGAAAAAAAGACATAGAAAAGCACGGGCACTGACTAAGCAAAACAAAAAACAATGGGGAAATAGGGGGGGATGGAGTAGAGAAAACTTTTCGTTTCCCTTCTCATCTCACCGATTCTCAATCTCGGCTTATTTCTCCACGTAATTCATCGGGATTTTGCTTACAAAAAAGGTTTAGTATGGATGAATAAAAGGATAAGATTTGTTTAAAAGAAAAAAAAGACACTGAAACTGACTCAAAATAGTCTATAAAATGAAGAATGTGTCTTGTAAATCAGTGAGCTTTGTTCAACGAAAATTTTCAAAGTAACGTACTATATGATCTTAAATTTCTAAATTTAATTGCTTACACTAACTATTATTTTATGTGCTTGATTCTAAGCTTCAAATCTTTTCAAATTAATGTATTATCTGATTAAATTCAAATCAAAACAAAACCCAAAACAAAACCCAAAACAAATCCATTTATTCCTATCAGTTTAAGCTTGATATTTTTTGAAATAATAGTACAACAATTGATTCTTCTACTGATCTAAATCCAAATCCTGAATATTTATTTATCTCATATTTCGATTTGCACAGTGTAAGCTTAAATGCATTAGTACAATGCATTTAAGCAATGTCATTATTCCCCATAAATTCAAAAACTTGTGGTCTAGCGCAAAATTTGATTAAAGCTAAATGCAAATTTTGAAATTTAAAGAAATTCATTCATCAACTTCTACTTGCTTGATCCTAATGTAAGCCCAAATACTGAATACAAATCAACAATCCAGATTTGTTTTAAAGTGATACATGGATGAGCACAGCCTTGAGAATATAACCGACTAGTATCAATGTACCCAAGGGTACATTGTGACAGCTGTGTCGGTTGCGCAGCCGATCGAATCATCGATCGTCCCAAAAAGCTTTGTCCTGAGCTTTGTCCCTAGTATCAATGTACCCAAGGGTACATTGATACTAGTTGTGCAGAAAAGTCGCTCTTTTCTGTGAAATCTTATTTGATTCTTTGATTTTGAATATCTTTGATTATCTTGTCCTTCCTCTAAAGATCGTTTGTGCGATAAAAAGGGACGGTGCCCACTTTGTATTGTTTTTCTTTGGCTTTGAAACACTGAAACAACGATTGATTCTATTTTATTATATTTTCTCGCTAGATTAGTAATTGTGCTATATTCCGAATAAATATCTAATAATCATTGCCCCATCGGTACCCTCTCACGCACTGCACACTAGTCGATTATATTCTCAAGGAGACATTGTAGACATTGTAGACTCTGTAGAAATTGTAGAGAAAATCCCAATTGAATCTACCGTAATTCTTCTATTAGAATGACAGTTTTTGGAGATATTGAAAAATAAAGCAACACGTCGTTCTAATAAAATAAAATACTGCTTCTTCCGAATCGAAGTGTTCTCCCGCAAGCTCATTACTCATGATCCGGAATAAATACCGTAAATACTGTAATAGTACCCCACCTCTCTCGTACAGTCGCGTAGTCGCAAAAGTTTTTTAGTATTTTATTTTTTTCAAAGCGCCCGTACTTTCAAAAAATGCGTCTTTGGTATCAAAAAATAGCTGAAATTCAGGGCTATTTTTTGATATCTAAGCGCGCATCGTAGCATAAACCAGTGTCGAGAAAAACTCGTTCAAAGCTAGACTACGCAACACTCCGCACCGTCATTATGGAGGTGGGGTACTATTAGGGGTTTGCAAAAGAAACTGCGCATGACTTTCCGGAACAATATTTTCTCTATTTGAAAGTGCTCTAACTCAGTTTAAATTTTATTCTATTGTGTTGATAACGCTTATTTATTTTACTGATTTTCACATTTGTTTGACCATTGAATTATAAATAATTTTAGTTGTCGAAGATGACGGATCAAAAATTCTTTTTGCGGGCTTGCCTTCTCTATGACTTTAAAATGAAGAAATCCAGGCATTGAGTGCACCGGAATCTTTGTGAAGCATTTGGAGAAAACGTTTTGAGGAAAGAAGTTGTCAGGAATGGTTCCGGCGTTTTCGTGAAGGAGATGAGGGCTTGGAAGACGAGCCCCATGGACATCGTCCTGTTGTCCTCGATAATCCGGAGTTGCTCGAGGTTCTCGAGTCGGATCCAACTCAAACTTTGACCGAATTAGCCGAATGCTTTAAATGCGATAAGAGCACAATTTCCGGACACCTTTTGCTTATTGGAAAAAGGAATCGTTGTGGCCAATGGGTCCCACATGAATTGTCGCCTGAAAACAAACCCAATCGAGTTTTATTGTCTCGGATTTTATTGAAAAAGGCTACGGGCAGTGCTTTTTTTAATGAAAGCAACGTGTTGACGATGGACAAAAAGTGGATATATTTCAATAATTCAACACGCAAAAGACAATGGTTGAGCAAAGGACGAAAGGCCGATTCCGACATCACATCCAGAACTTCACAGAAAGAAAGTTATGCTGTCGGTCTTTTGGAATATGAAAGGAATCGTTTATTTTAAACTACAAAAATCTTCAAAAACTATAACTTCTCAAAGCTACGCCGAACAGCTGAAGAAAGCTGATGAAATTCTACGAGAAAGAGGTGTTAATCCAAGGACAATCCATTTACTCGCTCACAATTTCCGGGTACACACATCAAACTTGGCTCAAAACACCATAGAAGAGTTAGGCTGGAAACTTGTGCCTCATCCGCTCTATTCGCCTGATATCGCTCCCTCAGATTACCACTCTTTCCTGTCTATGCAACACTCTCTTGCAAAGCTAAAGTTTAACAATCCTGAAGAAGTCGAAATTTGGGTGCAAGACTATTTTGCATCACGGGACCCCGAATTTTTCGAATCAGACATCCGAAGTCTACACAAAAAATGGAAAAATATAGTTGATAATTTTGGCGAGTACCTTTTGGAATAAAGTCTTTTATTATTAATTTTCGAGGTGTTTGAACGTTGCGTATAATACGCAGTTTCTTTTGCAAACCCCTAATATTACAGTATTTACGGTAGTAATCAAAAGGGGCGAGACTGTATGAGGAATGCGCCAAAAGTTCCCAAATAAGGCTATTTATTTTAGAGCGAGTCATTTTTGCAACCTGAGGGTAGATGAGAACGAGCTTTGACTTGGAGGGCCTATTGTCGAGTGCAATAGAAGAAGTGAAGAAAAATACCAAGAAATAAAAAGCTGGAAGCATCATTTTTTCGCAATAATTTGAGGAAATGTTGAAGTAACCAAGCCCCCTTTCTAATATTACGATAATTCGACTTTGATTTTCTTGGCGGATCATGATGAAATTTCGTCTACAGAAAGAAATCAGCAATATCAAGACAAAATTTCAGAATAATCGATCAAGAAACAATCAAGAAATGCGGGTGCCACTAGGTTGAGAGTGGGCTTTTTCAAGTCTATTAAATAGTAGATTTCGCAAAGTCAGAGTCCTTTTTGATTGCTGCTTTCTGGGGCCGAGTTGTCGTCTTTCCTTTACCAAATCGAATGACTTGCCTTGTTTTTCTTCTGATTTTTCTCGATTTGATTCCACTGATTTAACGATCAGCTTCTCCTTTCTTTTGAAATCCCATTACCCTTTTTCATTTGTTCTTATCTATACTGTGAAGTGTTCACGTATTGCGCCTTGCCTTCTTCCCTTCTACTCCCCCATCCCCCAGGTGTTATCTCTCTCTTTCCTTCTTTGAATTGAAGTACTTTTTCTTGATCAATCTTCTCTTGAATCGATTCTTCTTTTATCCATTTTTCCATAAATTCTAATCCTAATTTGTCACAGACAATGGGCGAATTTTTCTTTCTTCTTTTTACTATTTTGTTGATTCATTTCGGAAACACAGCCACTTTAGAAAGACCAGGTATAATTCTCAGAAAATATCATTAATTTCAAAAATTTCTTCTCTTTTTCAGAAATCTCGATTTCTATAATCCCATCGTTAAACTGTGATCCATTGGGGACGGTTCATCGACAATTTGTGAGTTTTGCAGAATCACAAAAACATTTACAACAACAACTACAACAACAACTACAACAATAACAACAACTATTGCCTTTTTTTTACTCAAACATGCTTAAGGCAAAATATTAATAAATAAAGCATTTCAAAATGTTTACAGGATCGCTGCATTTGTCGTTTGTATTTTCACGGCGAGCGTTGCGAGAAAATCATTCGATGTCAGAGTGGACGACCGCGAAATGTGACGTGAGTGTGAAGATTGAAATATTTTCAAAAGAAATCCACATTTTGTTTGCCTTTTCTAGTTGCCCATCCGATTCACGCAGCGAGATTTCCCCTTTTCATCCACTTCGAGAGCAAATCTTAAAGCGATGTGTGAAAGGACAACAAAACGTTGAGGTATGAATAGGTTTCATTTAGATTTCTAAAAATTGAGCTCAAGAAAAGCTACAGTATTTCGTTGTTTAAGAGATTACGATAGCTTTTCTGAGGCGTATCGTTTCATTTGAATAAAATCTATTCAGGTTTGTGACTGTTTCCCCGGATATTCGGGTGCTCTTTGCGAAAAAACTCAACAACGCTTCTTGCCCAGGTATTGAAATCAAAAAATATTCTCCAAAAAAGTCGTCTCTCAGTTCAATCTATCAGCGTCCTTCACCCGTTGATGTAGAGAAAGGATTCGAAGAAGAAATGGGGATAATCAATGAGAAAATTGAGACAAAGCTGATTCAAGAAGCCGATTGGTCAGCGAGAAGGGTAAGAAAATTTAGAATTTAACTCGTGAATTTGAGCTTAAAAGTAAACCATCATAAAGTAAACCAAAATCACCAGCTTTTTTTATGATTCAATAGAACACTAGCAATATTAGCATTGCTCAACACTAGCATTGCCCTTTTTCATACAAACGAAATGTCATTTAGAGTCTTCAAAATTGATTCCAATTTTTAGCCAGCTTACAAAATGCTGTTATTCCTTGTGGATTTGTTGATCTTCTTCGCAATTCTCGTGTGTTGTCGCTGGATTTGGATGAAAACCGTTCATCGAAATAGGAAAAGGGGTAAAATTGTTAAGAATTTTATTTTAAAATCAAAAATTGCAGAGGAACGAGTGTACAATTTGTTGAGACAGATCGAGAGACTCGAGCATCAGACACCGACAACAAACGAGTCTCAACCAGCTGGAAATGGTTGGTTCGAGTGAAAAATTAACAAGAGATAAGCTTTCAGTTCAAATTGAGAACCCACCAACATATGAAGAGGCTGTGCTGAGGAGTAAACAATTGAAAAATGAGGTAAGATACGATAATATGTGATCACTGATACATTGATCAAGATGAGACGCAGAAAAGCACTAATGTGTATTGAGATATTGAAAGATTGAAAGATTGAAATACCAGCAGTAAAAAAATTGGAGTAAAAAGCAAAAGAATTGGCACCGAGAGGAGTCGAACCACCGACCTCTCTCTTCCGTTCGTTTGAGAGACGCGCTCGTTAACCACTCGGTCAGATGGCGCTGCGCGAGCACACTTTACTCTAGCCCATACGACCCGAGTTCGATTCCGGCCCGGGTCGGCACTTTTGGTTTTGAAAAGTTTAAAAACATTTTGCACAACTACATGGAATTCTAAGCCAAACTAACTATTTGAACTAAGTTATTTGAAACGGCCTGGGTGCAGAGGAGTAGTGCGCATAGCCAGACAGAGAGCCAGACAGACAGACAGACAGACAAACAAACAGACCGACAGACAGACAGCCAGACACACAGACAGACAGACAGATTGAAAAATAGTAGATTAAAATAATGAGATTGAAATTATTGAAATATTGAAAGATTTCAGGTGGCAGCTCCCAGAAATCAGTTAGCTGCTTCTTTGGAAAGAACACTTGACGATGGTGAATTTGGACAAGCGCTCAACGTTGAAGGAGTTAAAGATGAAACTGTACAAAGTAAGCGAATTCTTCAAATTTATCCCTGAATATCTCAAAATTGTTAGAAATCCAGATATCCAGCCAACAAGGATGAAATCTCTGTAGACAAAAGGAACCCCACTTTAACTAACTCTAAGTAACGTTCTTCAGAACATTAACCAGTACAACCAGAGTTCTACATTAACCTTGAAAATAGTACAGTAATTCTAAAGAAATCCAAAGAATATATAGTAAACCAGAGCCATGAAAAAATGTCTTTTCAAAGTAACCACCTCTGATCCTACTTTAGACGTGTTAAACATTCAAATCGAGGCCTCAACAAGTCGATCAACTCGATCAATGAGTACAAATGAACCAACTGGGAAACGATTATTTGTTCATGTGTAACGTTTTTCATAAATTGAATACTTTCAAACGTTCAAAATACATTTTCTGCACAAAAAACGATCATCTCTTTTTCGTCGGCGTTGTCGGCACGGGCACTTTTGCGTCTCGCCAACAAATTGCCATCAATTCGTAATCACAAACCATGTTAACCTAAAGATTTCAAGTTTTTATGGAAATCGCTATTAAAATGTTGAAAAGCTTTTGAATTTACATAAATCTAGCATTGAAAAAAAAAAATTGTTTTTTCACTAACCCAAGTGCCATCATTTTGCGAGTAGGCAACACAAGATTCATCTTTGAACGATCTAGGGAAACCTGGAATTTTCGTTAATTGTACTCTTTTGACTAGAGCTTTTGCTAAAGCGTGGCAACTTTCAAAAACTAGTATTGCCTTTAGTTTTTATCTGAGAAAATCTACTCCAGGTTCATTAATCAAAGATTTCCCCAGATCAAAGACCAACCATCTCTCCAATAAGTGAAATTCTTGTTCTCATCCAAATATTCTCCATTTGACCACGTGAAATCTTCTTCCTAAATATTTCTCTATTGTGAATTTATCATTTCTATAATACTTACCACAGGTCCAGATACGGGACAACCACTTGTCGTACAATTGATTGCATTTAAACCGATCCAAAATCGCGAGTGCCCGTCGGCTAATGATTGATTTTGGATCACTAGAGTAAAAAATCTAGAAATATTTTTTATTTTCAAACATTTCTCAATTGCTTCCATTTCAGTTGGCGTGTCCACAATGGCCAGAGATCCCATTTGATCGGTGTGCAAATTGGTGCATTCATTTAAGGCAGCTTGATACGACTGAAATGTGAAGTGATTTCGGAATTGATTTTGAAAACCAATTATTGGATTAGCCTATATCAGATCAGAGCCTAACCATAGAATTATTCCACTAAATCAAAAATCAACAGAACTTACGTGTAATCGCGTATCGAGTGAGTAACATCTTTGTCCAACGGCCATCATATCACTCGGACATCCCAGGGAATCGGGCACCTCTGTGACTGAATCGTATCCCTTCTGAAATAACATCATTTGTCAACTTTTTCGAGTGTGACTCAACTCTACAGTATTCCCAAGCTACCGTAGCCCATCAAGATTTCTACGACAAGATTTATAGCTATTTACTACGGTAGAAATTGACTTTCTAGAAATTCTTGCGTTACGGTAACATCTATTCGTTTGGTTACAGTAGCCGAGCTATGCTTTAAGGCAAAAGTTTCCAAATATCACAACACTTTACCATCAGCAAGCAACATACCTCACACATGATCCTCCTTTGTGGATTATTTTCTGATTGTGATGTGATATCTTGTTCATACACTTGCGCAATCCCACCCATTAGAAATGTTCCCATTACGAGAGGACCCGCAGCGGCGAGATTTCTGAATAAAGAAATTTCAAATAAAAGAAAGCACCGAACTCGTCCGCATCAAAAGATTTGGAAGGATTGATAAAGAAAACATTATCCAAATCATCTTCAAGATCTCCGAAATGATCGGAATCTGTGGGAAATGGGAAAACGGCTGTGGATGGAATGGCGATCGGTTGGAGAAGCTTTTTGTTAAATGCTGAAGGTAAAAGTATCGTTGAAAGCTGGTAACAACTTTTAGTTGACTTTTTACTATATTATTGTTTGAAGGTGGTTAAATACAGTCGAACCTCGTTAGTGAAGTATGGAAGGGTTCTGAAAAAACCGTTCACTATCGAGGTTTGATTAGAGTACTAAATCAATTCAGAGGGATCTTAAAAAATCCGGTTACTATCGAGGTTAGTTCACTATCGAGGTGTTCACTAACGAGGTTCAACTGTATAGAAATAATATAATAGTGTTAACCATACCTGTTCCTGAATAAACGATGGCAACTGGGCTCGCTTTGTTCAGCTGTGTCAGAGGCACGACTCCACTTGCATTACTAAAAAAAAAGTCAAACCTTTTTCAAGATGAGTTCTCTAACTAAGTGAACACCTTTGTCCAGTCATAATGATGACAGGTTGTGCATTGTATGACGGAGAAATGGATGGATATGGAGAATAGAAATAGTAGGCGATATCAGAAAGTAAGCTGACAATTTTAAAAAATTTAATAAGGTTGAAGAGATTCTCTCAAACCGCGAAAACGTGTAACCTGGATCAACACCGTCACATTTTGTCACTTGGTCTTCCAATTTTGCTTTTAGCGTGGCAAAATTTTCCGAACGAGTGTAGGATTGTCTAGCCGACGTGCCCGCCTAGAAAATGAGTCATCATTCTGAAATCGTTTACAATTACCTTACACCCATAGACAAAGGCCACGATTTCTGTTTTTCCTCCACTTTGACTGTGCTCGACGTATTGCTCGATAAATGCAATCATCTAAACAGTAAGTCAAATAAAAAATGTAATGGAAAATAATGGAAAATAGTTAGGAATGGCAATAAATCGTTTCTAGATTAGATTTATTACATTTTCCTTATCTGGCGCGTTCCCATCGATTGCCACAATCAACGAAATCGGATCATGGAGAACCGTTTTCACATAAGGAAGAGGATCTGTGGACGAAAGTTTTAGAGGGCTATGTAAATTAATCAGCATATTGTTATTCAACTATCGCTGTTGATATCCATTTTGTGCTTAAAAACCCACCAAGACTGTCACAAGGGTCTTGTGTATCAAAATAGGTCCACTTTTGATCCCGTTTCACACAACCAGTGAAAGCTGAGTCAATCCCAAGATCGGAGAGGTTTTCTGGAAAAAATGTTTAGTCTTGGTGCCTCGATTTCTCATATTTGTTCTATTCTAAAACGAGAAGACTTTCGAAAACTACCGTAAACTTGCGTTTAGTTTGTATTCAATTTACGTTGGTCTTCTGTGAGGGTTCAGGGTTGTTCAAGCGTACCGAAAGGTACCACAAGTAGGCTCTATTATTGCTCGTATTGCTCCACTCGTAAATACAGTGGTCCACAAATGTATTGTCCCATTGCCATCCAAAAGTTTCTTTCGTACGAAAATCTTGCAAAAAACGATATTCCCAAAAAGTGTAGGGTTTTTTGCTTACCCATAACACTCTACTTTTCAAAATTATAAGATTTATCCGTATCATTGCATAAAAATTAAAGTATGAAACAAAAAACAATAAGTTACTTAACAAATAGCTCCACAAAATTAATGTCCCATTGATGTTTTCCTTGATTCTTTTTATCTTCGCGTTCTATGAACATTAAATGTATTTTATTTTATTATTTAGATGGCTGGCAAGAAAAACCTTGACACTCCGAAGAAGCTCCGAATCGCTAAGGCCCGGGAAAATGGGATGCGGGAAAAGGATGTGGTCAATCTCTTCAATTGCTCGATAAGGACGGTGCGCCGCATTCTTTCTCAATCAAAAGTCGACTAAAACCTTCATCGAGGCCTCAAGAGTGACCGACGACCAATCACAACCACAAAAGAAGATCGAGCCGTGATCCAAATGGTGAAAAACAATCCTAACAAAACACCAGCGGATGGAAGCCAAGTGATGAGGGATCAATTTAACAAGGTTGTATCGCCGAAAATGATCAGACGACGATTAAATCATGCTGGATTATATGCAAGAAGGGCTACCCGTAAGCCTCTGATAAATTCTAAGCACCGGAAGCAGCACCTTGACTTTGCACGGACCTACCGAATTTGGACGACACGTGATTGGGCGAAAGTGTTATTTACCGATGAGACAAAAATCAATTTATTTCACGCGGATGGAAATCATCTTATTCGGCGACCGACTGGAAAGCGATACGCACTCAAGTACATTCGGCCTACCGTGAAATTCAATGGCGGAAACATAATGTGTTGGGGTAAGAACCTTTTTAGTATTTTGTTATCTAAATTTTTTTCTTTAGGAGCGATGTCTAGAACTTCCGTAGGTCCGTTAGTCTACGTGAAATCGACGATGGATGCTGTGGCTTACAAGAATATTATGGAGACCCAAATGCTTCCCTTTGCCAATCAAACGATGCCTCCCGGGTGGATGCTTTACCAGGACAACGACCCGAAACACAAGTCGAGACTGATGATGGGACGGTTTGCGACACTTCAAAATGGTACCAGAGCTCGTCTGCCCGGATGGTTTGCGGCAAATCGCGTTAAATTGATCAATCCACCCTCCCTTCTCACCGGATCTCAACCCAATTGAACATTTGTGGTCATTTGTGAAGTCGCGCCTCAAGGGAAAGAAATTCGATTCGAAGACCGCCTTATGGGTTGACATTCAACGTCTTTGGGCCACCATCCGCCCAAGTCTTTTGAAAAATCTCGTGGATTCCATGCCGGATCGACTCAATGAAGCGATAAAAGCAAAAGGAGGACCATGCAAATACTAATTTTTTGAAAAAATGGTTAATTCTTTGCAAATGGGACATTACTTTTGTGGAGCTATTTGTTAAGTAACTTATTGTTTTTTGTTTCATACTTTAATTTTTATGCAATGACACGGATAAATCTTATAATCTTGAAAAGTAGAGTGTTATGGGTAAGCAAAAAAAACCCTACACTTTTTGGGAATATCGTTTTTTGCAAGATTTTCGTACGAAAGAAACTTTTGGATGGCAATGGGACAATACTTTCGTGGACCACTGTAGATATTTCAAATAAAATTAAACACAAGTTTAGGGTAGTTACTGAAAATTGGCATACCCACGCTTTGAAAGGAGTATAATCAATTCTCAAAACCTTACTCGCAATCGGAGGAATGTCAGCAAGTTGAAGTTCAGCTATTTCGCCTTCGATCGCCTGTCGACAGGTGAATATACCCAATGCGTATGAATAAGTCATCTAAAATTGTACTCTTGTTACTAAACTAGACTGTGAAAGAGTTTCTTTTTCTTTCTTTCCCGAGAAAAGGCTACCGTAATCTACTGGTTATGAGATTTCTTCTTATTTCTTATTTCTTCCATTTTACGTGGCTCATTTTTAACACCAACCGCCGACACATAAACACATGGTTGTGAGCCCGTTTTCCGATCGAGTACCAATTCAAATTGTAAATGAGGATAGGTGGCACATTGTGAAATAACGATTTGAATGAAAGACGGGAATAATATTTGCCAGGAAAGACTTCTCATTCAGACAAATCCTCTTCCGATATTGGTAAACCTGGAAATTGCTTGAATTTTGGAAATAGCTGGTGGTAAAACAAAAAAAAGACTCTAACGTAGAAAAGGACTCATTTTTAGAAACGTTGCATCAAGATTTTCTGGGTGACGGTAAACTAATAAACTAATCAGAAGCAATAAAAACATTTTAGGGCTCATAAAAAAGATTTCTTATTTCTTATTGTTTCAATGCTTGGTAGTTCTTTAGTATCGATTTTACCGATTTTGCCAACCTTTAACCTATAATTTAAACACTTTTGTGAAAAACTCAAAAACTATTAGAATCTACAAAGCTTAAGCTATCTAATAATGTTTTAAAGTCAAAATTGGACAAGTTACCCGAAATCATACCGTAAATCCGGTAACAATTTACCCATGGATGCATAGAAAGGATACCTTTTGACTCATTTGTTGTTTTGTTTTTGTTTTGAAAAGAGGATTTACGGTATGTGGAAAAAGGAAGAGAAAACTCGATCCGGAATTAAACTCGAGTATCCGATAAAAAATAATGAAACTTCAAACTCAGTCCATTTACAAGGGAGGGAAGAATTATTTCCTCTTTCCCCCCATTTCTCCAAGAAGAACAGCAGCTCGGATGTCAAGAATTTATGATTGTGATAAGCCGGATTGTAAAAAAATACAATGGAAGGAGCATTCCAAAATGCTCCTGGGAAGATATTCTCTCGCCCTTTCGCCCTAAATAAAAAAGTGAAAGGAAAAAACGCTTCTCAGAGTGGGGTACTACATATGGTCGTGCAAGAAACTGTTTACCAAAGGTCAGAGATTCGATTTCATGCGCCATAAAAGTGCATCATAAACAACTCTATGCTGGTCTACCTTTAATACGACTTCTTTGCTTTCAAAGTAAGAATTTTAAAAAACTTTAATTTGTGTTTTTAAACTGCTTTAAAATTTATCAAACTTAACAAGAACACAAACAAAATAAGTAACAACAAATTCAAAATAACAATCACCTAGATAAAGTAACAATCCATTCTAATCGGGTCGTTTGCGGGAACACGTCAACGGGAATGATACTTTCTATCGTGAAAGGCTGGCCTCCAAATTTGTTGGACCTAAAAGGATATTTTTATGTACTTTACATCACAGGATTAAATTAATTTTTAAATCACTTGAATTACAATAATAACAAAGCTCACGCGGGTCTGCACAAGTCGCAAATATTCTTCATGGCTAAATTTGGATCGCAAGATACGTAGATTAACCGCTTCATTGTTCTCATCTAAAGTGAGTCGGTTGATAAATTTAATCAAAAACAAACCTCTCTGCAACCAATGATGACCGAGTTTTGTAGGCCAGCTCGGGGTGGGTCGAGTACACCAACGACCTAAAACTGGTCAACTGACTAGCAAATAAAACATAAACAAACGTCAGATTTATCTAGATGGAAGCCCTTTGGTAGAAGATATTTTATCGATTTGAAAGCATCTTCAGCGCGAGCAGCGACATACCGACATCTGGTACAGTTAAGTATTAATAGTTTGTTCGACATGTAATTCCTACTTTTCCGAAAGTCCATTTTCAAAAGCGTTCTTTTTTGCATCTTCCACCGCCGACTCGATCATTTCAATGCCGACACAAAACACCTAAACTGCTCAATTTTATTAAAATGAGGATAAGTACCTTCTTTTGCCGGAAGCCTGATAGAATGCTTTGCCCGATTGTTCCCGTTCCACAGCAAATGTCAAGCAGCACTAAGCCATTGTCTTCATTAGCCTGAAACTCGTAATTACAATCGTGGCACAAATCGATAACTAACCACTTCGTCCATTTTTGGAATTTTTGCCGCAGGTTCATCCGAATCCTCATTCCCATTTTCTGGCGTCACTTCCGAAAGCGCTTCTTCCATTTTTACAATATTTGCAGTGATTTCATCTTTATTCTTTTTAAAGCTTTCTAAAATTGACAACTGATTGAATACATATAAATGACTATACCATCTTCAGTTTTCCCATATGGAATTTGCTCAGAGTCATTCTTAGAAAGACCACATTTATCCGCTAAAGTTTTGCAAAATTAACCAATAAAATACTATTACATACCGATCGTTGAATACAGAATTGTTGCAGCAGCAGAGTTTGTTTGAAAAAACGCCGCAGGACTTACACGGAATCGACAACCAAGCAACGTCTCATATATAAAGGGAGTTCCTCCAAAGAATTGTATTATTGAAAAATTTAAATAGCAAACCTGCAATGAGAGAGAAATTTGTAGCATCACTGGCATTTTCCATGACAGAAACGTACAATGAAGTTATTCTGTAACCCTTTACCGCCAATGTCTCCAGATTGATAAATCTGAAAAGCCGTTTAAGTTAGAAAAACATCTCCCCCTACCGTTCAGCCAGCATTCTTTTTACTTCAGCATACTTTCCCTCATCGCCAAGTGGGAAAATCTGTCATAGGTTTTAGTGGTTGCAAAAAATAGCACTAACCGTAACAATGAGCATAGTGTCACCACTAAATTCACGAACAGTTAACATTTTCCAGGTACCTGTGCGAGCAAATTCGTCAAACGGTTTCAAACCTAAAAAGAATAATGAGAATGGAATGAAACAAAGCCGAACCACTATCATCGACAAATTTGCTGAAATCGTGCACTATATTTCGCGTTTGAGTCGAGATCACATCACATCCTTCAATCGGCATCACAAAATGCTAAATTAAAGAATAATATCGAATCAAACTTAGAAAACAAACCTTATTTTCCGAAAATTTTCCCCCAACAAATCCGACACACACATTTCCGTCGAGATCGTGGCCAACGGTGAATTCATTCTTGTTCCGATACGCCGAAGTGATAGGAGATGGCACAACCTAAAGTTTATTGTAGTTTAAGTTTTTAAAAACAATAATAAACTTATTTGATTTAAACTTACCTGCATCAAGAGTGATTCGGCTGCTTCCGGTACCGATCCATCATTTTTCTTAATCAAATTCAGCAAGCGCCGTGCAACTTCAAGTGAAGTGTTCCATTTTTTCTAAAAATATAGTTAAAAGGTAGTAAAACTAAAGATTACGTCAAGTTGTTCCAAATATGGAAGCTCCGCCAACGGTGTGACAATTGATCGAGCCGTTTTACTTCTCAGTTGTTCCGGGTTCACAATGTCCTACACAAACCATAATTCTAAATTTTTATAAAGCAAATACCGTTGTTGATTTTGGTTTTTCAGTTGATTTCTTCAAATCGGTAGGCGCAAGTCGAGCAGTTAGTTGATTTTTCTTTAAAACGAGGGCATTGATCATCTAAACTTTAAGGTATGTGGAAAAAGCATCAATAAACAAACCAGAATTGCTTTATTTGCCTCCTCGGCATTTTCAAAGGAAACGTAGGCCGTGTCTCGCATTTGACGAACTTTCTTGAGCTCAAAGTCGGGTAAACTTCTAAATAGCTAATTTTTGAACATTAATATTATGCGAACTCACTTTTGCAAAAATTGTTTCAACTGCTTGTGGGTCGTAAATGCAGGGATGTTGCAAATTTGCACTCGATCCTCGTCGACCAGGGTTCCATTCTCGTTTCTCATACCTGTAAACGTGAAAATTAGTTAATTAATAATATTAATGATTAGAAAGTCGAAAAAGTAAACGAATCTGGCTTTCAAGAGCAATTTTAATTTTCCTATGAACAACAAACCATAAAAATACGGTGCAAAAGGTGCGCAAAAAGAAAGTGATTGCATTAAAGTGAGTCGAGGATAAAAGAGTTTTAGAAGAGGCTTGAAAAAAATATGCAACAATTTAAAATAAAGGAAAGACTTCATGAAACATTGAAATATTGCAAAGAACAAAGAATATTACAAGGCAAATACTTCGATGCTATAATAGGACAGCAGCTTTAACTATTAGCGTTAGCAGAATATCGAAGATTTTATAGAAAATAGCACGGGTCAAACCTCCCTCTAGCATAGACCGCAAATACTCTAATAGAACGCCACCCACCGTACAGTCGCGTAGTCTAACTTCTTTTTAGAAAAATCATTTTTTCCAACTACACTTTTGGTACCAAAAAATGCTAGATTTCAAGGACTATCATTTGGCACCCAAGCGCACACTGTAGCATAAAGCAGCCCGGAGAATGGGACGTTCAAAGTTAGACTACACGACTGTACGCCCGTCATTATCGAAGTGGCGTTAAATTGGAGTATTTACGGTACTTTTTTTCTACCACTGTAAGACTTTCAAAAACAGACAGTTGTCTTTCTTTTTTGATGTCAAGGAACTCTTGTTTTTAGAGAACCCAGTTACACTTCTCTTTCTCTGTCTTCTTGCTCTCCTTTCCTCGCCAATCGCTCTACTCTTTCTACAGCTTGGTTCCTGCAAGCAGAGTCATCTTTGAAAGTAATACAGCTGTTTTTTTTCTGCTTTAAAATACGCTTGCATAACACGTAAACCAATCTTTTTGAATGAATACAAAAGCTATCAAGATAGCTGACTGTTTTAATCTTGTTTTATCATGAAGCCTCTGTAAAGTATTCAATTTCAGTAATCCAGTCAAATGGGTCGTTACATGGTCGTGTTAAGCGGTGGTCCTCCTTGGGGTTTACGCTTGAGTCAAGATGAGAAAATGCAACCAGCAATCACACTGGTTAGATTTCATCGAAATTAGAACAAAGATAGACAATCTGATTTCTAGCAATACTTTGTGTATTCAAGCAAAGCAACCAGAATGACAGAGAAAATGAAAACTTTAAAAACATTTTTAGTTACTCCCAGATGGTCGAGCTATCCAATCGGGACTTCAAGTTAGCGAAAATTTCTAAAAACTATTGAAATTTGCATTTGTTTTCCAGTTGGGCGATCGTATCATTTCAATTAATGATCGTCTAGTTAAATGTGTCACTCAGACACATTCAATGTTGCAGAAAAGTCGTGGAAGTGTTCAAATCGAGATCGAGAGGTTTAGACTCAACATTTTTGACTAAACCACCGGAAAGCCTAATTAAGTCTACTTGTACAGTTTCCAGATATTCAGCAAATCCTTTGCCATTCGCATACCCAGCAAACAAACCCACTTTTTCACCACCGAAAACCGTCAAATCTTTTGGTGATCGACATTATCGAGGAGCCACTGAAGTTGTACTTGTAAATAAGTTGATAAATCAAAAATTTAGGATAAAAAGCGATTCTTTGAGAATCTCATCGAAAATGAAAATATTGACAAAGTGATGAAAGTCCCGAAACGACAATTAGAAATGAGCCCGATTGAGCAAATGATCGCTAGCACGGAGAGCGAACAAGCAAGTACGATTGGGTGAGTTCAGATGGATACTAGGTATTGATATTCGGAAAACTCTGACTTAATCTGATTTTACATCAACTTCAGCTACGATTCGGTGTTTGCTGATTTGATGGCCAGTGGTGTTGAGAGAAGTCTCGAATCGTCGAGCATCACAACAAGTCATCGAATATCACCCAGGTTTGTTAAAAAAACAATCTGTTGCTCAGAAATCCCAAAAAAGATACACTTTTACTTAACTCCACTAGAAGAAATGTTAGAAAAGATCTCTCTTTTTGCAAGACAATGCCTCAATTTCCCTTGTTGATGCGTGAAAATCGAATTTACGGAAGCACTTCCGACATTCCCATCGAGTCGAGTATCTTGATTTTTTCTTTGTCATTTTAGTGCTTATCTTTGATATTATTACTAGAGTAAACTTTACTTGATTTCTTTTCTTTCTAAAACACTTTCTAAAAGGCACAGTAAACTACTGAAATCAAGCCACCGGTATACGATCGATCAACCCATTTTTAACCAATAACAACAGTTCGATCAACAGAACCATGTGATTCCTCAACGCGTGTTGTTAAAATTAGCCGATTGGGTGAAAAAAAGCAGTTTGAATGCTGTAGCTTTCTGTAGGTATCCTTTAAAAAGTGCACTAATCAATAGGAACGCACTTTCTATGAAAATCGAGTTTACGGAAGCACTTCCGACATTCCCATCGAGTCGAGTATCTTGATTTTTTCTTTGTCACTTTAGTTTTCATTGATATTATTACTAGAGTAAACTTTTCTTGATTTCTTTTCTTTCTAAAACACTTTCTAAAAGACACAGTAAACTACTGAAATCGTGCCACCAGTATACGATCGATCAACCTCTTTTTAACCAACAACAACAGTTCGATCAACAGAACCATGCGATTCCTCAACGCGTCTTGTTAAAATTAGCCGATTGGGTGAAAAAAAGCAGTTTGAATACTGTAGCTTTCTGTAGGTATCCTTTAAAAAGTGCACTAATCAATAGGAACGCACTTTTTATGACCGAACACCGTCTTTCAACAGTACCTTTTCGATTTCAACCAAAGCTCTGTTCTTTCCAAAAATTAGATTGAAACCATGTCATAACATTAAAAATTTATCTATAGTTTTGCAATTAAATCCATCAAATTTCAGTATCGACTCTGAGTTGAATGCAATCTTCAAATCATCGACAAACGGTTTTTTTCTCTTTGCAAACTTGTGAAACTCTCATTTTATTTATTTATATTTCTTTTCTTTTTCATTTTCCGCTTTCTTCTTTCTCCAGGTCATAAACAGACATTCCGACTATTGATAAAAAATGTTTATGAACTGTGAGAAGAGAAAAAAAGAGGGAGATGGGCAGGCATTTTGGTGCCAGCTTTGCACCAAACAATTTCTTTTATATTTGATAAAAAATGGATATTTTTAGTAGGGTTTTAACTCAATGTGCTGAATGAAATATTTCTAAAGTTTTATCTTGTTGGGTGGTTTCAGTTCTTATGATTATCAATTGTAGCAAAAGGCATTGATTTTGATTTATCTACGATCTACTTACTGTAACTGATAGTACTGATAGTGAGTAACCCTCAATTAGTGTTTACGATAACTATCAGCAAGTGTTACATGTCTATTAGAGCGCCAAAACTCCCGCAAAAAAAGAGGGAGCTTGGTTTCCGGTGACTTTCCATAATAGATACAGCTGTTAGGAGAGGGAATACCCTGGACTCTATTGGGGGAAATGATCAAAGAAAAGGCAAAGGATGGAAAGGGAAGGAAATAGTGTCCATCTGGGAGTGTGGAGTGTAGAGGGAGGATGGGATAAAGTGAGATAAAAGGGGGGTAAAGGAGGAATGTTGTAACACCCCCTCCCCTTCACTTTTCTTTCAGACACGGCTATTTTCCACGCTTTTCCCAAAACTTTATTGCTAACATCACTTAGTCTATTCTTTGATTAGTCATTGTTTTATTGAACTTTATCTAAGCTTAACCCTTGTCCTTGCCGCTTTAGTTCAAAATTTATGAAAACTATATGAATTCTCTCTTCATCTTTATCAACTAAATGACTTACAGTTTTCTTTAGCCAATCCATCCATGATGTACGAAGCTTATGGATATGGAGAGCATGATTTAGAGGATATCATCGAGCAACAGGTATACTGTTACATAGAAATATTGGGTTGGGGAGAATGAGTCGGCGCCGAAATTTAAAGAAACTTTTTGCACCCATAAAACCTTCTTTAAATACACGTTTTGTTTCATCAAAATGGTCCACTATTTCTTTACAAAATCGCTTTTGAGAGATTCCACAAAGCTTTTCTTTTTTGGGATTTTATGGATTCCCAAACACAGCTAATCAAAATGACAAAAAGTCCGACTCATTGCTTGAACAGTTTCTTCCACATAAACCTCCTTTGGTGTTTATATAAAAAAGATAGAGCACACTCAATTACATAAGTTACCAAATTTTCAGGAAGATCCCCCCCAAACCGTTTACTCTAGATGACAGTTTATCGATTTTGTGAAAAAATGATCCTTTGTTGAGTTGAGGCGCTGTTTGAGTTCTCTTTTAAATATTATTTTGTAGAGAATTAGTTACCCTTCTACGGATATCAAACGCATATCATTTGACAAAGTCTGCTGTAAGTTTTAGAAATTTCTTTGATTTTCGGTGCCGACTCATTCTCCCCAACCCAATAGTTTGTGAATCGTTAATCAATCACTTGTACCGTTAAACTATAGATCTCTCATTGCAGATTTACAAATCTACAGATCTTTTATTGCTAATAGTACAAAAACGTACTGTGGCTAGTACGTTTTGTTGCTTCTTCCGTTCTTTTTTTCGTTATAACGTTAACCTTATAAATCAATATAAGCACTTGTACCGTTAGACTCTATCTGAATCAATAACTGAACTCCTTCAAGGTTCTAACAGCTACCAAACTCTTTCTAAGTCTTTACCAAAGATTAAACTCGAACTAAGTTCTAACAAATAGTTCAATTCATAGCTCAAAAAGATTCGTCGTTTCTTTCAAAATTTATCCTAAACACCCCAAACAGTTCAATTATGAAGAAATGGCTCTATTCGAGGTCACTAATTCCATTGTCCGCGAAATGAACATCATCAGAGTGAACTGTGACCGAATAAGTAAAAGGAGGAGTAGGGAAAGGTTTTCTGATTCAAAGAAAGATTTTCCCATTCCCTTTACAATAGACTCAGAGTCTCACTTCGCCTTGTTTGTGTGTGTGGAAATCCTCTTTGATGAAGTCTATTCCACTGTATGACCTCACTCTTCATTCAACCGATAAACCCTTCCCTTTCATCGTTTCCCAACCGTTCTAAAAGCTCTTACCGAACAATATTTTACTGCCTCGCGGAAAACCTGATTTCACTGTTTTTATTTCAAATTTTGATTTGTATGTTGTTTGACTTTGGTTTACAATGAGCTTTAAGAAGAACGAGTACACTCACTAAATCTAAATCTGTAATCGTAGTTAGAATCTATATTTGTTCAGCGGATCTACTTTTTAGATTTCCAAATATTTAGCCCAAATATCTTAAAAATCTGGACCGTACTTTGTGATCGCTGTAAACACGCACTCTCTGGCATCCCGTCGGCATCGCGTTTATTAGTCATAGTCCAAAGGTTCTTTAAAATAGGAAATTTAGTGTGCCAGAGGGTTTTGTGTTTGCGTGAGCCGAAAATCTATGTCTTACTTGAAGTACAGTACTGGACAATGAAATATGATATTTGAAAAACGATCGTCACTTTCGCGCGTCTGTAACTCCCTTGTCTTTGAGTTTAAACTATTAGTGTTATACATTTTCTGAAAGCTCTTTTCAAGGGCTACACAATGGTAATATTAATATTTAGAAATACGGTAAAAACAAGGGAGTTACAGACGCGCGAAAGTGACGATCTTTTTTCAAATATGATATTTCGTTGTCCAGTAGTGTAGATAGAGATTGAGTTCCTTAAAATTAACACAAAGAAAAATATTTTCTAGATGGCCGCCGCCAAAGCCGCTCACCAAGCACAAACATGGGGAATGAGAGCCGAGGTTGGATTGAAATAAATAAATAAATCTTAATCATTTGAAGGTTAATTTGTAGGCTATAATTTCTGGACTATAGTCCTGGGCTATAGAATTTTTTGTAGATACCTAATGCGCATCCAGCCGAGGGTTCAATCGAGATCCCGGGTCGACGAAGTGTCGCCGAATTGGCAAACAATTTGGCCGGCAGATTGGAGGTGAGCAAACGATATAATAGAGTATAATAAAATAACAAAAAGATATTAATATTTATGCTTCTTCAGGTCAAAGCCCCAAATGGTCAATCAGCTGGTCGTCCTCGAACACCCGCCAATTCTGGAGGGTCCATTCAATTAGGACGAGTTCTCGAAGAGAATCCAAAGTATCACAAAATATCAAAGATTTAGAAATATAGAATTTAGCATTGATGTTGCAAATTCAGCGGATAGACCATATTTGGGAAGGTTTGCGGAAAAAAGATTGTCTTTACAACTTTCCAGAGTTTAGGGTACTCGATGGACCGGTTGATCCGAGGAAATACTTTCAGGGCGTCCCGCCGCCGAGTGCTTTACAGGTACGGGAAAAATTGGGAGTTCAGAGTTGTGGTTTCAAGATTATTAAAACAATTTCCAGGTGGTCTCTCCACCGGTTCAGCGAAAAACCCCAAACATTGCACAATCGTTTCTGAAAGCTCAAGCTAGTGCTCGACCCACACATTCACTCTCGTCCAACTTCAGAAATGGGTCCGTGAGTGACATTTTAAAGCTAATTGTGCAATGAAGTTTTGGAAGATGTATTTAGTTAGCAAACCCAGGAGATACCTGGACACTTGCGACCTTTTCCCGAGAAAATCCTGGTTTGGCGCTTTAAAGCGTGGTAAAACTACCGTGTCCCTCCAATTTGCGCAAAATTTCATTTTTTTCATTCTTGTTCATTTTATTTTATTCTTTTTGCGTTTTTCTGATGTGGTCGCGTTCGTTTTTCCAGGAAACAAAGAGGATAAAGCTAAGTTACGTTTTTAACAGCATTTTCTGTGGCGGAAGCTTTATTTGTAGAGTTTTTTTAGACCCATTTGCTTCCCGACGATCTGCTTTACGAACTTGATGCTAACTAATGTTAAGTTAAGTGGCTTTTATCATTTTCTATAGCGGAAGCTTTGTTTTTGTGACTTTTTAGTTGAAAAAACGTTGAAAAGTTGAAAAAAATGCAAAAAGAATAAAATGAAATGAACAAGAATGGAAAAAAAAATTAAATTTTGCGCAAATTGGAGGTACAGTAGTTTTACTACGCTAGAGAGCGCCAACCCAGGATTTTCTGGGAAAAAAAGTCGCAAGTTGCTTGAACATTAGTCCCCCAGAAGCAGTAGATAAATTGAATCAAACATGGCACTGATAAGAGATTTGAGAACGATAGGTAGATTAGGACTGTTTTGACTCCTAAAAGAGCAGACATTCTTTGAACTAGTATTGCTAAAGTGTCAATTTTTCATAAAATACGATAAAGGGACGTAATTTTCTGGGCAATACACAGTTCCCAGTTTGCTCGATATCACTAATTTCCATCAAATTTCAGTGTCCATGCGGGTCTCTCGAATAACGGTTTCGCTGACCCAAACAACTCGCCAGGTTTCTATCGACGACATTGGGGAAACGGACCAAACAATCAATTTACGAAAAATGGAGGAAATCAAATCACAAATCTCACCTCTGTTTCCACTCCTCAAACTCAAAATGACCACTCCACTGTTACTTTTTCAACCAATCCCACCAATTTTGAGCCCCAATTTGGCCTTGATAAGATTAATCAAAAAATCGATCTCATGGTGAATCCGAAAGTTCAAAATCGAGTCGAGCCAAAAGAGACGGCAATCGATGAACCGGAAATGCTGCCGATTGATGGAATAGTGAAAGAGAATGCAGTGACTCCACTAAAGACTACAGTCATCACGAAATCCTCCGTTTCCTACAATCATCCGAATGCTCAAACGATTCAGCCAGCAAAAGAACACAAGGGGAATCCAGAAAGTCTAGCGATTCGACCACAAACGAGTGAAGAACAAGACATGTGAGAAAATGAACTTGTTTAGCTGAATATTTGATTACTTTTGACCCAATGTAGAATACTTATTGAAAACTTTTCTTTTAGGAGACCGATCGAAGTTTCCCCGCAAACCGATTCAACTCCAGTTCTGGGTGATCGAAAAGTCGAAGAATCGATCGTTCAACCAAACGATTTCGAGAATACAAACACGGAAAGTAGTGAAACGAGTGTCGAGGACACGAAAAAGCTCAAGGTTTTTAGTTTAGTAGAATTTTGCACCACAAAGTCTCCTCAGATCCCACCCCCAACTCCACCAAAACCAACGACACCGCTGCATTTTGCTTCACCGGCAGAAGTTCCCAATGAAGATGGATTGGAAATTGAAAAGAAGTTTGTACTTTAACACATATGACTTGATTTAATAATTGCTTAAGATTTAGTGCTGCCTCCGAATTGGCGACAAGTCTTGCTCATCAGCCGGTCAAATCAAAAACCCACAATCCGGATGTGCATCAAGCACGCACGACTCCCGTCATTTTTGATCGTTTCGCTGATGGGGATGAAGATGAGAAATTGGGTAAGGAAACAAAAGCTCCAAAAAAAACATACGAGTACAATAGTTGATTTAAGTTTCTAGATTGATAAGTTGTTTTCCAGCAAGTGCACCACCACGTACGATGGATCTCGAGGCTTCGGCTTTACCTCAGAAACAATTCGTCTACAGCTCAAACACGGCCGATCATTATGGAACGATTCGAAGGGGGAAAGTAAGAGGAAACGGCTCTTGGCCGAAATCCGGGCATTTTGAAAGAGTGGCTAATCTTTGTTGGTCTTTGCCGAGAGATAATATTGCCATTGCCGAGAGATAATATTATTGCTTTTTTGTCTTTACAAACGAGAACACTTTAGGCTTTCTAAGGACACCAAATACAGCTTGATTGATGCTGCTTGATTGATTGGCTTGCTTGATTGATTGGCTTATCCATTCTCAAGCAGTACGACATCGAAGTTGGATCGAAATTGGCTTTACTTTCTTAGACTTGGTCATCCAAACAAACTGTATTTAGTGTCATTAGCAACCCTAAAGTATCCTCGTTGCAAAGATATAAAAAAATTAACAATAATATTATTTCTGGGGAAATTTAAGACCGTCAAAGCTTTGCCATTTTTTCAAAATGCTCAAATTTTTCCAAAACAATCCAAAAGAAAACATTTTTCATTTTTCCAATAGCCAAGAAAATTTTAGAATAGAAAAAGATCGAATTATTTCTTATTTCCAGGCCTCATTGATTTCTCCAATGTCAACTGTGAGTTCTTCATTGGGCACTCCGCGTCTCAGCACGACGACAAATGATAGTGGATTTGAGGAAAATCTCACTGCAACACCAGGTTTCTTTGATCTTTGATTTTTGAGCTTTTGAAACTTGGATAATTATGATTATTTCAAATTTACATGACAATTTAAATGACTTTAGCCACTCCATCGTATGGTTCTCTATCGGTGAACACGAGCACATCATCGAGACCCGTCAGTGAGGATTTTTATGGTGGGATTAGCTTATATTCAAATGTTTATCCGAAAAGAATGATACTGAATAACTGTTTGTTGGAATAAATGAAGTAATTCATTTACATTTACGATTTGCTTTATAAGCAAATCCCCACGTGTTGCCTTGCCTTCTTTTCTCGAAGTTTTTGTGTGTGTTTCCTTTCGCAATCAGAAAAGAAAGCGGAAAATCCCTTCCGCAAATGAATGAGAGAAGAGAACACAAGGCAAATGCAAATTCTCGTTTTTTTTTTGAGAGGAGAAGACGTCTCTTTTCCCTTGCCGTTGGAATCCGCTTTTTACGCGAGTCTCTCTTTCTAATTTTTCTCCCATGCGGATTGGTCATTCCCAATCCGATCACAGAAGTCCAATGACACATTTTGATAGTGATACTTTGAGAATTTTTTATTTTAGTTATATTGTAAAGCAGCCTGGATAACCGTTTTTTCAGCCTAATCTTTGAACAGAGCTCATTCATTCTAAAATCCTTTTCAAAAACGAAACCAATTTCTTTCTATCATTGCACAATTCCTATTTCTATAATTCCCACAAATTTCAGGCACTTCGACAACCTCAACAGCCGCCTCATCATCCACATCAACAGTCGATGGTCTTATCGAAAAAAGACCAATTTTCGAGGAAGATATGTCGAATTGGTATCGAGGAATGTACAAAAGAATGCATAAAGTTGATGGGAATGGTGGGTGGGAAAAGAAAAATCAAGTTTTGTTTTTTTTAATAGGTACCTTATCTTCTGAACTTCTGAACTTATCATTCTAGAACGTGGCCGTACCGTAGCTCTTGACATCTTGTAGTTGTTAGGTAGAACTGGTGATGGAAGAGATAAAGTTCAAATTTATAGTATGAAGGTCTAGGTTGACGGATTATGGTAACAGGGGCGCGCTTCAGCGTATCCAGTCAGCAAAGTCGCCAAGTTGTCTCCCAGAATTTGATCCTGTTTGTAAAAAAAAGCAAATGAGCTAAAATATCTTTAGAAATTTGCACTAAAGCCTTGAAAACATGCAAACCATTGCCGTTCTCTTTTCGATTGGGACTTTCCCCTTGACGATCCCCTCCGCCAATGAGTTGAGTGAATGAGTGAAGAAGAAGAAAAAGAAGGAAGGGCTTTTAAATAAACATCGATTCTCTTCTCGCATCATCATCTTTTTCCCATTTCCTTTCCATTTTCTCTCTTTTTCTCACACACTCACATCATTTGCAAATCTTCAAACATTTCAAGAAGCTTTTCAACTTTTCCACAAACCGTTTTCAAGCTTCAAACTTTCAAAAAAAGCTTCAAAACGAAAAGTTTCAAGATGGAGAAGATTCTGATGAAGGTTTTTGAAAGTAAACTTCTCCCATTTAGTGAACTGACTAAAGGGAATTCTTAACAAGAGTTTTCAAAAGAATCTCAATACTAGCTTTATCCTCAGCCTCAGCCTCAGCCTCAATAAGAGCTTCTTACAAGATCTAAGATAATCAACGAAAAGAAATCTTGGCCGTGTTTCTATCCATAGATCTATCCTTTTTTTTCGCTAATTTCATTATCTAAATCTATTTCAAAGAGAATAAACCTTTTAAAAACAAGCAGAACCCATTTTTTCAGTGTTTTCTTCATATTTATCCTTTCGTTGATTTTTTTTTGTTTAAGAGATATGTTTGTGTAGTTGAGGGAAAGGGTGACTTGGGTAGAAGAGTATTGACTCCCACTCAGCTATAGGAAACTCCTTTCCCTTTTTTTGCGGTGAGGGAAGCTTCCGTTTCAGTTTCGTTTTTTTTTTTGCAATCCACGACAAACAATTCATTTTATAGCATATTCTAATATTTAAGCTTTTTGATTCAATAAGCTCTTATAAAATTACAGATTCGATTCTGAAGTACTACGTCCGAGAAGGGAACTCACCCAATCCACAATACGCAACACTTGGACGAGATCGTGAGTTGATTGGAATATACACCTGAGAGTCGCTAGTATTAGCTCTAAAATTTGGTAAAATGTTCAGTTTCTATTTCGCTTTTTGTTTGTATTTAGTTGTCAAATGTGGCAGATTTCGGTTTTGTCATTTTTCTAAAAGAAAAGTGATATTCAAAATGATTATAAATTTAAGATAGTACGCTATTAATACCAAGTTAAAGAGTTAGCATTCAAAATTTTCTTGGTTTTCTTGGTTTTCTTTAAAATTTCTAACCATTTAGGCCCGTGGACTCCATCAGCTCGACTCGAGACGGCGGTTTGGGGTGGTGGTGGAGGAGAGGAATTCGAAAAAGGAGAACAACAAGAAAGGAAACGATCAAGAAGTGTGGGAAGGACATTCGAGAATACGAGTAACGGTTGGTAACAACATTTAGGTTATTCTCTAATGCTTTTTCTAAAATCTATTAGTTTTTCTAAAGTAATCATCAAATTTTGGCACATTTTAGTAAAAAGATTACCGTATTCTCTCTAATAGTAGTGCACCCTGAGCGTTGCCTAAATTACTCGAAATCTCGAAAAGCGCTTATCAGAACCTATCGATGTGGGGTCGGAAAATGTAGCTGACGATCATCTAGTGGGGGATTAAAGTGTTGAGCTTCTGCGAAAACTTCAAAACCGTAAAATAGTCATCAAATCGGCTCACCGGGAAATATTAGGGAAATAGATCTGATCTGATCTACTAGCCTAACCTGGAATAATATACCGTCTTCTCTCTAATAGTATTGTACCCAAAGCTTCACCTAAATTCCTTTAAATCTCGAAAACCGCTTATCAGAACCTATCGATGTGGGGTTGGAAAATGTAGCTGACGATGAGATCTAGTGGGGGATTAAAGTGTTGAGCTTCTACGAAAACTTCAAAACCGTAAAATAGTCATCAAATCGGCTCGGTGAAGTGCACTACTATTAGAGAGAATACGGTAAATGTTTGAACTGTAATTTCCCAAAGAATACGGTATGTATTATGCAAAGATTAACAAATTTTAGTCAAAAATAAAATATGACAAAAGATTTGGTATTACTTAGATTGAAAAAAATCAAAATTTACTCAAAATTTACTCAAAATAGTTACTCTTTTCTCGAAATGCAACGATAACCGAAAATTAGGATAGAAAATCTATCCGATACAAAGCTAATCTCATAATGATCGACTATTAGGCGTCTCTTGTACATATTCCAGAGTTGACCTTGTCTCTTTCCACCTCTCTTTCCATCTCTCTTTCACTTTGCCATTCATTCAAACAAATTCCCCTTGTAACATTCGATATCTGAGAGAGTATGGGATTTTCCCCCTCTCATATTTTCCCGTTTCTCTTTTGCATGATCCTTTTTCTATTTCCTGAACTTCTTCCACTTCACTTCATTCTTTTTCACTTTCTTTTCCCCTTTCATCTAAATCCTCTACTACATACTCTTTTTTGCTCTTTTCTATGTTTATTGTTGTTGATTTTTAGTCAAGTTTTCACTCTCAATCCATAAAAAAAAAAACGATTTCCTTGTGTCAGTTTATCAGCATCCGTATCAAATTCAATTCTTTTTGACCAGAAAAGCTTCAGCTCTCATAGAAAATATGACTTACTATTTCAGATTTGCAGTTATTCCTGCAAAATCTTGCTATCAATGAGCTTTCCTTTTATTCTGTTTCTAGATTTTCAATTTTAAATCCCCGGCTCCAATTTTACTTTATTAGCTTAACAAAATTTATGCTAATACACAGATTAAAGTGATCCAAACTATATCCCTGATCAGGGTAAAATTTGAGGGTTTTATAAGGGCAGGGTGGGGGGGGGGAGGGGGGGGGCGGGGGGGGGGGGGGGGGGGGGGGGGGGGGGGGGGACGGCCGTATCAGGGATGTATCACGGCCGTATCAGGTCCTATCACAAAAGTACTTTGTTAGCTTAATAAAACTTATATTAATGTACAAATAATCGTCTACTAGATTTTATTAGTATTAGTTCTCATTTCGATTTAAGAAGAGAAAATCAAATAAGAAAGGAAATGGGGTGTTCTCTCTACCCATGTCGGCACTTTTCGACCACGTTTTGCTAGTGAAAAAAAAAAGACGACGAAAGCTCTTTTCTCGGCATCTGTTTTGTGAATAGAATTTTGAACGGGAGGAAAAAAATGGATGAAGCTGAAGAGGGAAAAGAGTGCGTGTTATGCTAAAAAGGGGAGGAGATAGAGCAGAGATAGAGATGCGCCTTCCCCATCTGTGCACACCAACAACCATGTAGAGACATCGGAAAGAGATTGCATCGAAATGTTTAGACATTTCTCTTTTTTAATCATTTCTAATGTCTATTTGTTTGCTAGAAAGTGGCAAAGTTATAGCTAAGCTTCATAGCTTCATAGCTTTGAGTTAAACTCCTATTTAGACATTGGCTTTTTGTAGAAAACGAGTCAGTTTCAACAGCTCTTGTTTTCTAAAGCGTGGGACTGACTCTACAAAAGGCCCATATATATTCCTGCTTGGGTATTGGCTATCCACTGCTATCAGGCTATCAAGCTTCAATCAAACCCTAGAGCTCAAGTTTTAAGCTTTAATTCATCTACTTTTTTGAGCCAGACCCAGATCAGAGCCTGGTCATATGAACAATCGATTAAGTTATCCCGAAAGTAACCAGATTCACTCAATAAAAAGAAAAGCCTGGTGCCAATCTAATAGATATTTTCCATTATTATCTAGGATCTTTTCCCTTAAGCCAAATGCCATCCTCAAAACACTGTGAGCACAAAAACAAATTATGGTTACTTTCGGGACCACCTAATACATTCATTCTCAAGTAGCACAATTATGTGAGCTGTGCGGATGGAGAACTCCGACGGATAGTACAAAATCTGTACTAGATTCATTTTCTTCATCATAAACTTCTACATTCAAAGAAGAAGTCGAATCTTTTTCTTTCAGTTCACCTATACCCTTTTGCTTTTTATTTATTGCTTTCCATCTACTGGATTGCTTTTCTGAAAAGATCTTTTTTTCTTTTTAAATCCTCGTTCAATTGAGCATTTTTTGAGGGAGAAATGGGGACACTTATCTTTGCACAAATCTTGAATGTACTTGTTTGCGAAATAAATCACAAAAGCTGAATATTTTTCAAAGTTCTCTTTTTCAAAGTTTTCTCTTTCTCATTTTGCTAAAGATTGTCGAATTGGCCATTGCTTTGTCATCGAAGCAATAGCCAAACAAATCTTTTCACTCATCATCAGAATTTTTGCAAATGAAATTCTTGTCAACTTGCTTGCTTTCACTCAAACGTTTCCCTATTTCAGCATTTATGTCTTTTCATTTCAAATCATCGATCACTCAATGGATAATCAATCAAAGAATCCATTCAAAACGATTGATTGTCTTACAAAATCACCGCCAACAATTCGATGTATAGTAAAAGAATGACAAAAAAAATAAAACAGAAGTTAAAATGGTTAAAAATGGTTAAAATGGTTAAAATGGTTAAAAATAAAATGATTTTTTGATTTAAAATTATTTTTGTTTTTGATTGGATTTAAAACCTATAATCTTATAGAAATCTTATGAAAATCTATTAGTTGACTAGTCAATCTATTAGTTGACAATCTAATAAATAATCTAATAAATAAAAAAATGCACAAAAAGCTAGTGTGCCATCGTTTTTAAAAGGTGGCCAATTTAGAAAACTATCGTAGCCTTTCAGATTTTAATCATTAGTATTTGTTAAGAGAAACGGAACTAAATTTGTAGAGGAGAAGAACCAAATTTGTAGAGAAAAGGAACCAAATCTGTAGAGAAAAGGAACCAAATTTGCAGAGGAGAAGAACCAAATTTGTAGAGAAAAGGAACCAAATTTGCAGAGGAGAAGAACCATATTTGTAGTGAAAAGGAACCAAATTTGTAGAGGAGAAGAACCAAATTTATGGAGAAAAGGAACTAAATTTGTAGAGGAGAAGGACCAAATCTGTAGAGAAAAGGAACTAAATTTGTAGAGAAAAGGAACCAAATTTGTAGAGAAAAGGAACAGAAGTTGAAAAGTTGAGGGGAACGATTAAGATAGTTTTCCAAGTTGCTCACTTTTTAGAAAGCGTTTTGCTCACACTATTTATTCTACAATTCCCCTTATTTATTAATTCACTAAACAAATAACAAATTGAAAACTTTTATATCAAAATCTACCATTCACTAACCTTTCTTTTCAGTATCAGCAGCCAATCGATATGCTTTCGAGCGAATGAAATCCCCGGTTCCTCATTTTCATCTCCCATCTTTTCGTTTAAACCCGCAACCGCATCCATGTTCGTCAAAAAGGTCACTAACTGTTCGACAATGTTATAAATGTTATGAATACTCAGCTAAACAATGCACAATTTCTTTTCCCATCTCTAATCAATCCCCTCATTTTCAGTCTTCCCACAAATTGTCTCCTCAACCCATCATCATCTCATCCATTTCATCCATCAACTCCGTGCCTTCCTGTTGGATCGTTTTGCACCCGACGAATCTCTCCATCAGCTGCTAACATTTGTTTGAGGTATTTTACTAACTTTTAACAAAGTAACAGGTTATAGAATACTGTAGGTCAAATATGAATTTCATACTTGAAATCAATCAATGTAACTTCTAGGCATATGGATCAGCTGCTATTTTAGCACGAATAAACAGAACGATATCAGTACAATAACAATAATGTATTTAGTCAACAAGCTGGATTCAAATTTTCCAACTCAGTCGGTTGTAAAATGCAATATTCAATTCAATAAGTATTAAACGATTACGGTCGATTACAGACTCAGCTGACTGTAGTTCAGCGTAAGTCCTGCTAGTTTAATCTAATAAATAAAAAATGCACGTAAAGCTAGTGTGCCATCGTTTTCAAAAGGTGGCTAATTTAGAAAACTATCGTAGCCTTTCAGATTTTAATCATTAGTATATCAGTGCAATAACAATAATGTATTTAGTCAACAAGCTGGATTCAAATTTTCCAACTCAAAAAGTATTCAGTCGGTCGTAAAATGCAATATTCAATTCAATAAGTATTGAACGATTACGGCCGATTACAGACTCAGCTGACTGTAGTTCAGCGTAAGTCCTGCTAGTTTAAGCCCCTAACATCTCTCTTATCCTTAATTGTAAGTGTTTCTTTTCCCCTTTGTTAGTGTTTCTTTCTCCTTTTTGTTCCATTTTCATGTTTCTTCTCCAGATGTGGATGGCCTCGACGAGATCCAAGTTGGAGAGAGATCGATGAAATTTATGAGAGAATCGGAGAAACAAAGCGAAAAGAGAAACAAAAAGGATTGTATGGATTGACGAGGAAAAGTAGCCACGATTTACACCGAGAAGCTGGTTTGCATTTTGATACTAATGTGTTTGATTGAAGAGTTTTGTAAAAAGTGGAGGGAAAGCTACCGTAATTCTTAAGCTTCTTAAGCTGCCGTTTTGAAAATCTAAGCGAATCTCTCGTTCTAGCGAAGCAAGTGTCTCGATAAATTAAGCCTTAGACTAGCTGATAGCTTGAAGTACGGTTTACTGTAAGAGTTTTTGATTAAACAATGAGGTAGTGATAGTTTCTTCGCACCTTTTAGAAACTCTTTAAACAAGATGAATAACAAAATCTAATCTACTAATTGAATATCTTTTTTTATTCTTTAGCCGCTAACAGTATCACTCGACGTTTGGACGAGACGGCGCTCGAATTAGAGAGATTTGTGGAGGATTTGGATCGGTGTTGGAAGCGGTCGATCAGCTCTCCATCATTGAATATTCATCAAACAATAACAAGTACTAATTTAATATCTAATAACTAATCAATAACAATATTTGTTCAATAATATGATACTAATATTCAGTAATAGATCCCGAAAAGAGTTTTTGCGCAAAGAATTCTGTGTTTTGATTGAAAGAGTGCTTTGATTTTAGAGATTTAAGTTTTGTTGAAGATCTTGTTGAAGATTTCATGATTCATGGCTAGATTTTAAATATTTTATATAGTTTTAGATTTAAGTTTTGATTTAACTATAGTTTTAGATTTAAAATTTTGATTCTTTTAAGGCTAAATCAGCCATTTGAGACTTCTAAAGACTAAAGGATTTAAAGAAACTTCCTACAACAAATCTAATCAACAAACTAGGATAAGCATTGCTTATCTAGCTGATTGTTGGGCTAATTCATAGTACTTTTTATAGATTTTTATTCTTTTGTTAACATTTTCTTTATCTATTCCTCCATTTTTTGTGAGTAATGCCGTCAAAACTTTCCCATTTCCTTTTTCCAACCAGTGCTTTCTTTGGCTATACTGCAAAATAAAATACAAGTATTCAAATGAATATTCAACTGAATATTCAATTATGATTATCAAAAGTATCTTTTTTAAAAATTAGCTAAAATTTCTTATTCAAATTATTTGAGTTTTTTAGAATCAGCCACATTCAATCCGGGTGAATTGGCTGAATTGACGCGACTCACGCGAGAAGAGCAAATGTATCGGTAATTATTGAGAGAAAATTTGAACTACCGTAAATACTGTAATAGTACCCCACCCCCATAATGACGGTGCGGAGTGTTGGGTGGTCTAGCTTTGAACGAGTTTTTCTCGACACTCGTTTATGCTACAATGCGCACTTAGGTATCAAAAAATAGCCCTGAATTTCAGCTATTTTTTGATACCAAAGATGCATTTTTTGAAAGTACGGGCGCTTTGAAAAATACTAAAAAACTTTTGCGACTAGCGACTACGCGACTGTACGAGGGAGGTGGGGTACTATTACAGTATTTACGGTAGGAATTGTTTTTCAAGATACTATAATGATAATCGTAAAAAAAATTAAAGAATTTATACGTTTGTTCTTTTCAAGAACCTCAAGAACTTCAAGAACTTCAAGTTTTAGGCAAAAAGCCGAGCGCTTAACCGAGGAGTTGGAGGCGCAACGATCGAGACGGCATGGATATATGTAACTTTTTGCCTAATATTATTAGTAGTAAATAATAAAATTTATTTAAACCTTTGTTTATGTTTAGCAGATATGTTGAAAACAAATTTTCCAGTCCCTCCGCCGCGCCAGCTTTGCAGAAAAACGTGGAGCGATTCACGGGGTTGTTGAACGAATATGGAAGAGATTCGCCGTCAAATGGACTACAGGTTAGGAAAGGATCTAAATATAAGATATATTAATCATCTAGTTGCTGGATTAATTAATCAAAACCAACATTCAGTCAGCTTCTCCAATGCCGGCTGGACGCCGGAGTACAGTCGGCTCGTCGGCTCCGACAAACGTACTCACTTGTACTTGCATCTACAAATTCACCGCGCATAATGAAAGGTACGAGCGTAAACCATGTGCAATAACGTTTGACTTTTATGTAAACTATCTTTCCATTTCTATTTCTAGAGAACTTCCCTTAAACAAGGGCGACATTGTGCGACTGCATCGCGAGATTGACGCCAATTGGTTAGAAGGGGAAAGAAATGGGAGAGTTGGGATATTTCCCAGAAGTTATGTGCAGGTTGGTTAGATAGTCTGAAGATAACTGCTTATCTTTTTCACAATCTCTAGATCGAGTCCGAATTCGAGCGAACCCCGGTCAAGTATCGATCCGTTTACCCATTCACCGCCCGTAACTCAAACGAGATGTCGCTGAAAGTGGCGAGTTTTACAGAAGAATAGAAACTGTGTAGATTGTGTGTGTTATGGAAGTATTATAAAAACTTATAGAGCTTATTTGAACACTCTAGGGTCAATTGGTGACTTTCCGACGTGAGATCGACGCGAATTGGATGGAAGGAGCGAACAATTTGGGGGAAATCGGCATTTTCCCGAGTGGTTATGTGAGAAGGTTGGAGTTGAATTTAAAATTTAAAACCTACACTTCTGGACAATGAAATATCATATTTGAAAAAAGATCGTCACTTTCGCGCGTCTGTAACTCCCTTGTCTTTACCGTATTTCTAAATATTAATATTACCATTGTGTAGCCCTTGAAAAGAGCTTTCAGAAAATGTATAACACTAATAGTTTAAACTCAAAGATAAGGGAGTTACAGACGCGCGAAAGTGGCGATCGTTTTTCAAATATGATATTTCATTGTCCAGTACTGTATATAGAAAATAGATATTTACACTACACTACAGTACACTTTTCAGACAAGAGGACACCGATTTTATCCCAACAACGACACCAGATCGACCGAAAACCCCACACAACACTTTGCAAATGAGACCACCTGAGTATCATGAAAGGTTGGTCTGTTTGTCTGTCTGTTTGTCTGTCTGTTTGTCTGTTTGTTTGTCTGTTTGTTTGTCTGTTTGTTTGTCTATTTTCCTGTCTTTTCTTGAAGCTCTTTGTCTCGGTAAAAGTCAAAGTTTTGTAAAGTTCGATACTTTACAGTACCCCAGAAGAGCCGACCCTGTGCTTGCCACATCCAGTTGCCGAGAACACACAACAAACTAATGGGTAAATTGTTCAGGTTATCAAAGATTCAAAATACCTTTAGAATTACACCCAATCACCCAAATCCGCAAACATATCAAATGAGCAGACAAAACAATCCAAACCCTTCTTATTCCACTTCATCTTTCCCCGGTATCGACAAAACGAGAAGATTCAATGACTATGAGTGGGTTTTACAAATAAAGTTTACATAAACACTACTAGCTTATAACACAAATTCTACATTATCTCACTTTAGAGAGGAAACCGACAAATTGACCGAATGGAGTAACCGAAAGAAAGCCCCGAATCTTTCCTCTTCAACTACAAGAGGAGATCCTCCAATTTCTTCAGCACAACAACATTCATCACACATTGTACCACAAAACTCTGAGACGTGAGTGCTTCAAGCGCTGGTTTAAATCGAAAAAGACAGCGTACGATAGATTTTTCAGATATCGAGCTCTTTATCCATATGTACCGATGAATGAAGATGAATTGGAGTTGCAGGTTTGATATTAGGAATGAAGAAATGATTACCATATATATTCAAGGTGAACGATATCGTGTTTGTCGTCGAGAAATGTGATGATGGATGGTTTATTGGTAAGAAAGAAAATTGATAAAGACATCAGAAAACTGTGCTTTGTGCTCTTTAAAGTGGAACACAACCTTTCTGGTGCTTCTCGTTTTTACAGTACTACTGAAAATGTTAAGAATACGCCAGAAGGGGTTCGTTTCCAATTTTTAAGCACAAAAAGTAGATCTTGATGAGGTTCGAACATGGAAAATCTATCTGATATCTCAATTTCAGGTACTCTTCTCCGAAACGGACAATTTGGGACTTTCCCTGGGAATTACGTTGTCCGGCATTAAGCCTACCAGTCTACTCTGAAGAATTTCCAATTTGTAAACAATCTATAACACTTTTTGAATATCATATCTTGAGATTATTCAAGTAAATCGGGGAAAATCATTGATTACCGGCTTTACCCATCTCCTCCCAAACTTCATCCAAATCTAGTCAATACCCCATTTCCTCTATTTATTGGTGCAGCTTTCTTTTTCTGACTTTTCATGTTGTGAGAGAAACCCTCTGGTGTGATCGATTGATCGAAATATTTAATGTTTAATGTTTAATTCTGCATCATTTTACCTCTATAAAAGGACCGGATGATAACTGTGCCTTTTGGAGAGGAAATGTTTGTGCTATCTGTCTTTCTTTAGCACTTTACAATGCAAGGTTTCTGCGCCAATTGCAGATGGACATTAAAGTTATGCCGACTTTTTTGAAAAGAAGAAATTATTGTTGGACGAAAATGTGCCTATTTCAACCAGGTCTACCTTTTCTTACCCCAGTCACATTTCTCGAGCTAGGCAAAGGCTAGAAACAGCCTGGCGTTATCGCGATTCCCCCATTAAGCATATCTAGAAAACAACCTAACTAAGTTTGTCAAGAAATTTGAGGCCAATATTGAACGGAAATCCGTTTTTAGTGCTAGTCGCAAGGCTTTTTAAACAGCGATTAGTAAGCTTAGCAATAAGATTTCTTTCACCCCAGACGAAATTCCCTCTTTTGTTATACAAAAAACTAAGTTTCAAATATCTCTACTAGTTGCTAAACTTTTTAATCTGTCACTTTTAACTACTGAGATCCCTGGAAGGATTCAGCAATTTCCCCACTTTTCAAGAAAGGAGATCGGAACGCGCTTGCAAATTATAGACCCATCGCGCTCAGCTCCTCAATTTCTAAATTCTTAGAAATAATTATTCGCGACCACATTGTTCATTATCTAAATGAACATAAGCTAATTGATAAGAATCAATTCGGCTTCCCCAAAAACCGCTCCACCTCCTACCAGCAGGTTCTCTGTGTGCATGACTGACTTCTAGCTAAAGCCAAAAACGATCAAACTAGTTGTGTCTTCATTGATTTTTCCAAAGCATTCGATTCTGTTAATCATAGATTATTAATGGAATAAACTTCCTTGGAATAAACTTCGAAAGCTTAACATTGCGCCGAACAAATGTAAACACGTTACATTTGGTTCATTGCATATCCCTTTAAATCTGGGACCTATAATTACCACAAGCATTGGCTAATGATCTTATAAAAGATCTTGGTATACTGTTAGTTCCCTCTTTTGATCCTTACATAAACATTTCCAAAAAAGCTTCTAGAATTTCAAACTCAATACTTTGCGCTATTTGTTTCCCCAAAAATCGCGACTTATCGCAGGGCTTTTATAACCTATTGCCGACCTTTGCTCGAGTATGCCACCATCGTTTGACCACGTTTCCAATCTTCTCTTGTTCCAAATTATGAGACAAGACTTCTAATTTTTGATTTAAAACCCCTTTTATATGGCCGTACTTACTTTGATCTAATTTTTTGCTATAAAATTCTTTTTCACCCTAAGTTGTACCCAGAACTTCACAGCTTAGTAGTTTGTAGGGTTTGGAATTAGCTCCCGTCTGGTATCTTCTCGTCTATAGGAAAATTTAAATTATCTGCAAACGAATTAGATCTTGTAACCATGTCAAATCTGTCCTAAATTTAAATTTTTTTTGAATCTGTGTTTTCTATTTGTAGTTTTACCGTGCTTTTTGAGTTTTCTATTATGTCAATATGTTATGTGCGTCCGCCATTATTTGACTTCTTTTTATTCGCTCCTGAATAAAGCATATATATAAAAAAGAAATAATAATGTAAAGACGAAATTCTGGATTTAGAAGCGATGAGACGCTGGAAATACCGAGTGGCTGCAACAGAGTCAAGATAATTCTGATAATAGGACAGAGATTTTAGACAAACGAGCAAAAGACGAAAAAAAAAATCACAAAACGCGTAAGGAACTCAGTTTCCAAGATCAAAATTCAAAAGCTTGCGAGCATTTTCTTTGACCTTGTCTATATACGTCTTGGGTTTTTCGGTCTTCTTTTCGATTTCGAAGCATAATCCAGCTAGAGGAAACCAGAGCTTGTTATTCTTGTCCAAAAATTCCTCCCTTGTCTCGGCCAATTTGTCCACAAAATGGGAAACATCTACGTACTTTTGTGCCATACCGATTCGCTCTTCCAACGTCAACGGTGCGAGAACCTTGCTAAATAAAAAAAGTTGTTACTTATTTGAGGAGAATATTGATATATTGGAGAATATATCAGAATATTGCCGCCTTCTTCCGCAAGTTCTGGATATAGTATGTAGAATTGTTCCTCGCACAAGGTCGCTTGAAGCATTTGAATTTCTTCACACTTTCTTTCTTGCTGTCCTTTATCGCGTTCTGCAGTGAGATTCCTTGAAAGTTCCCGAAAGCGTGTCCATTTTTCCAACAGTCGGTGTTTCTAAAAATTAGCAATGAATAGAAAAACCCTAATTGTAAGATTTTTTGGTACTAATGTGGTTGGGAGGGGCACCTAAAATTTTCCCAAATGTACTGTATTCGTCTTCACACATGTATTTGAGTAATTTTTTGTTTTGAAAACACGCTGCATGTACCTTTGACTTGGTTTTTTTACTTGTTAAGTCTGGTTTAATAGGTTTAATCAGGCTAGCTTGGGAGCCCCTAAGGAGACGAGCTTTGCTAAAATGTGGAACTATAGCGCCAATTGGTAACTTGATAAAATTGCAAAATGTTAACTAAAACATGACTTAAAATTTCATCCTAGCCACAAATGCAAAAGATCGAACAGAGTGATGTCGAAAACTATGGTCGAAAACTATGGTCGAAAACTATGGCCCAAAACTATGGCGAAAATAGTGACACGAATTTGATTTGTTATAAATTTTGATACATCCTAGCCATAAAACTTAGTCAAAAACATTGCCTAGACAGTGCAAAATACAAGAAATTCGACTTACCACCAGAATCCTGCTTCCATGTATTATTTTAGCGTCCCTCAAAGTACCATCTTCACCAAGTTCAGCGTCATTGAAGAAAAACTGTAGATTCTCGAAATCGATGCCGAAAAACAAACTGATGTCTTCCCTGAACTTCTTGATTCCTGTCTAAATAAAGGCGTTTAAAGATTAAATGAATTAAAAACAAACCTCTGCATCAATTTTGAACCCAGTGACTCGAATCGACTTTTCTTCGTGAGCTTTCACACAGACCTCAATTGACAGAGCCATGGCTTGCTTGAGACCTAAAAGACAAATGATTATGTTTAGAAAAGATTTGAGATAAAGAAATGTGAAGTTATACTATAAATTGAAATATTCGGAGCTAAAACGCGAGACACTGACGAAACTTGGGAGGACGGATTTGTTGAAGTCGAATTTATTACCCCAACAACAACAATGATTATCGCGGCGAAAAAATAGACTACTCTACGCCGCGTTTAGTTTTAAGGGACGACAAGTTTTAAAGAAAAGCTCAATAGTGAAAATAAATAGTAAATAGTAACTTATTCAAATCGAGATAGAAAGATCGTACTAAAAATATCAGGAGTGATATTATGATGAGGAGCAACTTCTTGACGAGAAACTGACGGAAAAATTGAGCCTTTTGCGCTCCGGTGAAAAATGAAAAGGTGTTTTTTTCGTCGAAGCTCTCGATTATATACGCCTTTTCGAGGCACGTCTCGATATTTAGTGACTTGATTAAACATCGATCGCCAAAGGTAAAATTCAAAAATTTCACTATATAATCCGCAAAATTTAATTTTTTTATGATTGCTAAACTAATTATTGAATCTAATGGCAAGATTAAAATAATTTTGTGTAGTTTGCATTAATTTATTGTTTATTTATATCGGTGATATAGATTTTGTGTTTTTTTTATTTATGTTTTCGTTCGTGAACTTATTTAAATTCAAACCTACTTATCTCGTTTTTTTCCGTTCCTTCGTGACGGGACGGAATATCCCGAAATCAATCAAACCAGAGGGTTTCTAAAGAAGTAAAGCTTTATTTGTACCGGTTCTTAGAATACGGTAGATAATTTACGAATCGTCCAAGAACACTTACATCATCAAGCATTGCCAATTCGCGCTGATTTTGCAATTTTATCAAGTTACCAATTGGCGCTATAGTTCCACATTTTAGCAAAGCTCGTCTCCCTAGGGGCTCCCAAGCTAGCCTGATTCTCCTACGGCTGAGGTGAGTTTCGTACTAGAGGCACGTGCTGCATCAATAGTAACTCTAGGAGTCACGTGCCTCTGGTACGAAACTCACAGCCATAGGAGGATCAGGCTAGCCTGGGTACCAATGGGAACGCTGGCTAAAATGTGTAGACGAACTCATTGAAACAAAGGATACGAAAGAAGAGAAGCGTCTCCATCAAGAGTGTAAAGTTCTTCAAGAAATGTCGTTCGAATCAGATTTCATCCTCTTATATCCAAACATATAGAATCCACTACCACGCATATTTATCCCGCCAAGAATTCATTGTAAGTTCCAATTCTATATGTATATTGTTATTCTCTCTAATACAAATCATACAGTATTGTAGAACACACTGAACTGGGCGTAGAGTAGTCTATTTCTTCGCCGCCATAATAATTTTTTGTGTTCTCTCTAGATCACGCTAAATCTTTTGCCTAACTGAGCGTGGCATGACTATTTTTATAGCCTTATTTATTTTTTAGATCTCAAGCAAGCCATGGATCTGTCAATCGAGGTCCGTTTGAAAGACCACGAAGAAAATACGATTCGAGTCACTGGGTTCAAAATTGATGCAGAGGTTTGTTTTTAATTAATTTAATCTTTAAACACCTTTATTTAGGCAAAAATGGAGAAGTTGAGGGAAGAAATCGGCTCTATTTTTCGAGTCGACTCCACGAATCTACAGTTTTTCTTCAATGGCGTTGAACTTGGTTTTCGTGGTACTTTGAAGGATGCTAAAATAACAGATGAAAGCACTATTGTGGTGGTAAGTTGAATTTTTTGCATTTTGCGTGTCTATGCAATGTTTTCGACTAAGTTTTATGGCCAGGATGTATCAAAATTTATAACAAATTAAATTCGTGTCACTATTTTTGCGTCATTCGGCCATAGTTTTCGACATCACCCTGTTAGATCTTTTACATTTGTGACTTAGGTCATGTTTTAGTTAACATTTAGACCTTGAGCTTAGGGGACCCGGCTTATTAAACCAGTCTTAACAAGTAAAAAAACCAAGTTAAAGGTACATGCAGCGTGTTTTCAAAAGAAAAAAATTACTCAAATACATTTACGAATACGAATACAGTTTTTAATTGACAACATAACTTTAAAATGTTTTTTTTGCTGATCAGCGCCATCATTTACGCTAGAAAAACTACATTTGGGAAAAATTTTAGGTGTTTTAGGTGTTGGGGAACCACATTAGTACCAAAAAAAATCTTACAATTAGGGCTTTTCTATTCATTGTTAATTTTTAGAAACACCGACTGTTGCCACAATGGGAACGCTGGCTAAAATGCGTAGACGAACTCGTTGAGACAAAGGATACGAAAGAAGAGAAGCGTCTCCATCAAGAGTGTAAAGTTCTTCAAGAAATGTCGTTCGGATCAGATTTCATCCTCTTATATCCAAAATTTGGCGATGAACGCAACAATCTTGTGGAAAGATCGAATTTAATCTTCTTAGATCGAACGCAGAAGCAGATTCAAGTGGGTTTTTGCAAAGAGCAAAAACGAAAGGAAATTTTTTGTTTAGGATTCGGCAAGAACTTATTTTCAAAGCTTTTATGGCAATAATGCAACCATCGACTTTGATAGGCGATGGGCTGGCTCCCGCCACGGAACCATCTGTCTTGTCACAATGAATGGAAGGACGATCAAATATTTCATTAAAGCACAACACGCTGCTGGTGACCGAGACGCCTCTTGTTGTGAGTTTCCTTAGCTACGCTATGTTGTGTATTGGCTGCTAGTTCAAATTTTTCTCTAGAGACTTGGTAGCAAAACTAGCATCTATTACTGTATTTAATCTAGAAGCACAGCTCAATTCCTCTCCGTTAAATACTTCAATCGAAAATTTCAGTTGCCCGCCAAAACCCGGATTTGAAGGAGTTGTTCGTCTATAAATTTTTACGAGAACTCGGGATCGGGGCTGAAGTTGTGTTCATTAATGACGCATACGAATCTCGTATCTATATAGTGTCCCGGGAAATTATCAACTTTGAGTAGGGTATACATGTTATACATAAAAATGCTTATAGTTTAGAACAATAGAAGAGATCGAAGCGAATCGGCCAGACGACTTGGCAGATCACAAAGAAGCCGTCTCTCTAATGCTCACCGTCTACTCCGTCTTGGATCTTGGCGATCATCATAATGAAAATCTGGGTCTCGACAATAAAGGACACCCGTTTATCGTCGATTTTTTCATGCGGTCACGGAAATCCTTTGATTTGAAAGATCCGGACAACTTTTACGGTAGAATCAAGGAAGGAACTCGAATAAAGTAAGTTGTAATTTTAAGCTCCGAATCAAGAGACAGCTCGTTTCAAAAAGTCGAACAAATTACTCAAGGTATTTTTCAAGAATTGAGTCGTAGCTCTTCCCAAAAAACTAAAATATTTTAAATTGAATTTGTTCGACAATGCTTGTTCGGAGTTACTATTTTACGATTAGACAGATTTTCTCGAAAAATGATGTTTCTACCTCCTCAAATAAATAACAAATGTTTTTATTTAGCGAGGCTCTCGCATCGTTGACGTTGGAAGAGCGAGTCGGCATGGCACGAAAGTACTTAGATGTTTCCGATTTTGTGGCCAAATTGGCCAAGACAAGGGAGGAATTTTTGGACAAGGAAAGCGAGCACTGGACTCTTCTGGCTGGATTATGCTTCGAGCCGATCGAAAAGAAGACTGAAGATCTCAAGGCTTATATAGACAAGGTCAAAGAAAATGTTGTCAAGCTTTATAATTTTGATCTTGGAAAGTGAGTTCCTTATGAATTTTGTGATTTGTTTTCAGATAAATAATTTTCCTTTTATTGCTCGTTTGCTTCAATAGAACCTAAAGAAAACGTTAAAGTGAGGAGCTGATTAATCGAAAATCCTATATTATACAAATTTTGCAACATTGAGGGCTTAAGTTTAAAATTGCTTTCAGTTTTGGACTTTCGAAAAGGTTTAGATTGGCCTCGTGTTCAACTATAAAAGCTGTGGAAAGTTAAGGTTCGCAAATTATAAATAGTGTGGTCAAATATAGTCGATCTATGTAGTTTTGTAGAGTTGCATGTACTGAATCCAAGGATATCAGAAATATATTGGTGCTGATGTAAGAAGTTCGGGTTCACGACAATCAACTCATGTCGGGGAAGCAATTGACAAAAAAAAATTTCATTTCGTTGAGGTTCATCAACCTCTACAAAACTAACCATAGATAAATCTTTTTGATCACTGTTGGGGTTGGTTGAATTGGATGAATGGACCGCAAATTCAATTTCAAACCTAGATTTTCAATTCAAAACTAAACTTTCAATCCAATTTAAGCTTTCGCATTCAAAACTTTACGGGAAATACGGTATTATCTTGTCTACCTAAAGAACTGAGTGCTCTAGTTGTCTTAATATCTCACCAACTCAGCCTTTTGTTTAGATGATCTCCAATCTTTTCTACGGTCTTTTTGCGATGATCTCCTTTGTCCTACTCTTCAAAATAGCATCGATATTCTTTGTGTACAATGATGTATACAATTTCATGACAATTTTCATGACATTTCTTTATCTCTGGTTCAGATAAAGAAATCTTCGAATTTGTCTAAAATCTGTCCTTTAAAAGTATCAGGTTAGTCTCGGGATTATCTTGCCTCTGTTGCAGTCACTCGATATTTTCAAGCCTCATCGCTTCTGAATCCAGAATTTCGTCTTTAAATTAATATTTCTTTTATATATATATATGCTTTATTCAGGAGCGAATAAAAAGAAGTCAAATCATGGCGGACGCACATAACATATTGACATAATAGAAAACTCAAAAAGCACGGTAAAACTACAAATAGAAAACACAAATTCAAAAAATTTTAAATATAGGACAGATTTGACATGGTTACAAGATCTAATTCGTTTACAGATAATTAAAATTTTCCTATAGACGAGAAGATACCAGACGGGAGCTAATTCCAAACCCTACTAACACGGTTCGGAAACGATAAAGGGAAAGAATGGGGACTGGCTGAATGGCGGAAACGATAAAGGGAAAGATGGGGACTGGCTGAAATTTCATAAGGATGACTACGTGTCCTTCCAGGACTTTCCACAATTTTCAAGAAGCTTTGATGTTCTGGGTAGGAATTAGGGTGAAAAAGAATTTTATAGCAAAAAATTAGAGCAAAGTAAATACGGCGATATATAAGGGGTTTTAAAGCAAAAACTATAAGTCTAGTCTCATAATTTGGAACAAGAAAATATCCATATCAATCTACCTCCAATTCTTCTTACGAGCAAATAAAGCAGTTTAGCATTTTCAGCATTTCCAACAATAAAAATTAAAGTTTAGCAAAATTCCGCAGTTCTTTAATGGTGAATCGGTTTTGACAAAACTTTATGCGCTGCTGAAGTGTTGAGCGGTGGAAAAGAAGGCTGACTTATTTGTTGGCAAGGTTTTTTGGATTAGTTTTTAAAAGTTTCGAAGCATCCTTTTGGGCTACAAGACTGAACTTGTACAGCCTTCCATAGTGTGAGGAAGAAAGATCACAAAGATGAGATAGCAGCCAAAGTTCTGCTTACCGTAAAAATTCTATTAGACATGTCGCTCCATTTTTCAATACTCCCTTAGGATGTCGTTCTATGAGAGCATGTCGTTATATTTTTCAAAGTTTTACTAAACCACATTTGGATCATAATTGGTGCTAATTTGGGTGCCTCCAGAGTGGAATATGGCACAGTCAGCAAAGCAACATGAAGCACCCGGGAAAATGTGATAATTAAATAGCACATTTTGCAAATGCCTCAAATTAAGAAGCTTTTTTGTTTTACGACCGAATATCTTCACATTTGTCGTCGGGAAAATTCTTCTGAAACACTTGTTGCAAGTGCAGTTTCCGTTATAAACTTCTCGAGTCAAGCAGTGCACTTTTTTCTTTCGCATCAATTCATCAATTTACATGAATTAGGAGTGTCATTCTACAAAAGCGTTGACTATTTTCAAGCTAGATTGAGTTTCGCCTCTGTTTGATTTCGACTTGTGCTCTTTTTTTCGTTTACTAATTTTATTCTTTTCAGATATTTGGGCTTTTGATTGTGAAAAGCACGAGAATGCCGACCCTCGAAGAATGTATGCATTTTTAGAATCAGCCACATTCAATCCGGGTGAATTGGCTGAATTGACGCGACTCACGCGAGAAGAGCAAATGTATCGGTAATTATTGAGAGAAAATTTGAAATAGGAATTGTTTCTCAAGATACTATAATGATAATCGTAAAAAAAAATTAAGAATTTATAAGTTTGTTCTTTTCAAGAACTTCAAGAACTTCAAGTTTTAGGCAAAAAGCCGAACGCTTGACCGAGGAGTTGGAGGCGCAACGATCGAGACGGCATGGATATATGTAACTTTTTGCCTAATATTATTAGTAGTAAATAATAAAATTTATTTAAACAAAGATATGTTTAGCAGATATGTTGAAAACAAATTTTCCAGTCCCTCCGCCGCGCCAGCTTTGCAGAAAAACGTGGAGCGATTCACGGGGTTGTTGAACGAATATGGAAGAGATTCGCCGTCAAATGGACTACAGGTTAGGAAAGGATCTAAATATAAGATATATTAATCATCTAGTTGCTGGATTAATTAATCAAAACCAACATTCAGTCAGCTTCTCCAATGCCGGCTGGACGCCGGAGTACAGTCGGCTCGTCGGCTCCGACAAACGTACTCACTTGTACTTGCATCTACAAATTCACCGCGCATAATGAAAGGTACGAGCGTAAACCATGTGCAATAACGTTTGACTTTTATGTAAACTATCTTTCCATTTCTATTTCTAGAGAACTTCCCTTAAACAAGGGCGACATTGTGCGACTGCATCGCGAGATTGACGCGAATTGGTTAGAAGGGGAAAGAAATGGGAGAATTGGGATATTTCCCAGAAGTTATGTGCAGGTTGGTTAGATAGGTTAGATAGGTTAGGTTAGATGTCGCTAAAAGTGGCGAGTTTTACAGAAAAACAGAAATTGTGTAAAGTGTGTGTGTTATGGAAGTATTATAAGAACTTATAGATCTTATTTGAACACTCTAGGGTCAATTGGTGATGTTCCGACGTGAGATCGACGCGAATTGGATGGAAGGAGCGAACAATTTGGGGGAAATCGGCATTTTCCCGAGTTGTTAAAAATATTTGAAATATTTGAAAAAAGATCGTCACTTTCGTTTTTTTTTCTTTCGTCACTTTCAAAAGTCAAAGTTTTGTAAAGTTCGATACTTTACAGTACCCCAGAAGAGCCGACCCTGTGCTTGCCACATCCAGTTGCCGAGAACACACAACAAACTAATGGGTAAATTGTTCAGGTTATCAAAGATTCAAAATACCTTTAGAATTACACCCAATCACCCAAATCCGCAAACATATCAAATGAGCAGACAAAACAATCCAAACTCTTCTTATTCCACTTCATCTTTCCCCGGTATCGACAAAACGAGAAGATTCAATGACTATGAGTGGGTTTTACAAATAAAGTTTACATAAACACTACTAGCTTATAACACAAATTCTACATTATCTCATTTTAGAGAGGAAACCGACAAATTGACCGAATGGAGTAACCGAAGGAAAGCCCCGAATCTTTCCTCTTCAACTACAAGAGGAGATCCTCCAATTTCTTCAGCACAACAACATTCATCACACATTGTACCACAAAACTCTGAGACGTGAGTGATTCAACCGCTGGTTTAAATTGAAAAAGACAGCGTACGATAGATTTTTCAGATATCGAGCTCTTTATCCATATGTACCGATGAATGAAGATGAATTGGAGTTGCAGGTTTGATATTAGGAATGAAGAAATGATTACCATATATATTCAAGGTGAACGATATCGTGTTTGTCGTCGAGAAATGTGATGATGGATGGTTTATTGGTAAGAAAAAAAATTGATAAAGACATCAGAAAACTGTGCTTTGTGCTCTTTAAAGTGGAACACAACCTTTCTGGTGCTTCTCGTTTTTACAGTACTACTGAAAATGTTAAGAATACGCCAGAAGGGGTTCGTTTCCAATTTTTAAGCTCAAAAAGTAGATCTTGATGAGGTTCGAACATGGAAAATCTATCTGATATCTCAATTTCAGGTACTCTTCTCCGAAACGGACAATTTGGGACTTTCCCTGGGAATTACGTTGTCCGGCATTAAGCCTACCAGTCTACTCTGAAGAATTTCCAATTTCTAAACAATCTATAACACTTTTTGAATATCATATCTTGAGATTATTCAAGTAAATCGGGGAAAATCATTGATTGTCGGCTTTACCCATCAATCAATGATTTTGATTGATGATTTTGATTGATGATTTTGATTGATGATTTTGATTGATGGGTAAAGCTTCATCCAAATCCTCTCTTCCCAAAATTCATCCAAATCTAGTCAATCCCCCATTTCCTCTATTTATTGGTGCAGCTTTCTTTTTCTGACTTTTCTTGTTGTGAGAGAAACCCTCTGGTGTGATCGATTGATCGAAATGTTTAATGTTTTTTAATTCTGCATCATTTTACCTCTATAAAAGGACCGAACCGTGCCTTTTATCATATCTTGAGATTATTCAAGTAAATCGGGGAAAATCATTGATTACCGGCTTTACCCATCTCCTCCCAAACTTCATCCAAATCTAGTCAATACCCCATTTCCTCTATTTATTGGTGCAGCTTTCTTTTTCTGACTTTTCATGTTGTGAGAGAAACCCTCTGGTGTGATCGATTGATCGAAATATTTAATGTTTAATGTTTAATTCTGCATCATTTTACCTCTATAAAAGGACCGGATGATAACTGTGCCTTTTGGAGAGGAAATGTTTGTGCTATCTGTCTTTCTTTAGCACTTTACAATGCAAGGTTTCTGCGCCAATTGCAGATGGACATTAAAGTTATGCCGACTTTTTTGAAAAGAAGAAATTATTGTTGGACGAAAATGTGCCTATTTCAACCAGGTCTACCTTTTCTTACCCCAGTCACATTTCTCGAGCTAGGCAAAGGCTAGAAACAGCCTGGCGTTATCGCGATTCCCCCATTAAGCATATCTAGAAAACAACCTAACTAAGTTTGTCAAGAAATTTGAGGCCAATATTGAACGGAAATCCGTTTTTAGTGCTAGTTTTTAGTGGCTTTTTATACATACGTCTATTCTAAGATCAATCCAAACCACGATTCTTCCATTAAATGTATATTTGACCTCCTTCACAACTCGAAGATTTTGAAAAATCACGAAATTGCAAATTCTTTTGCTCAATATTTCTCTAGCGTTTTTGTAGTTGATGGTGGTAGTCGCATCCCTGCTCTTCCCGCCCCGGTACATATTTGCGCAACCCTAATCGTCACACCTTAACTCGATCCTTCTATGGAATAAACTTCGAAAACTTAACATTGCGCCGAACAAATGTAAACACGTTACATTTGGTTCATTGCATATCCCTTTAAATCTGGGACCTATAATTACCACAAGCATTGGCTAATGATCTTATAAAAGATCTTGGTATACTGTTAGTTCCCTCTTTTGATCCTTACATAAACATTTCCAAAAAAGCTTCTAGAATTTCAAACTCAATACTTTGCGCTATTTGTTTCCCCAAAAATCGCGACTTATCGCAGGGCTTTTATAACCTATTGCCGACCTTTGCTCGAGTATGCCACCATCGTTTGACCACGTTTCCAATCTTCTCTTGTTCCAAATTATGAGACAAGACTTCTAATTTTTGATTTAAAACCCCTTTTATATGGCCGTATTTACTTTGATCTAATTTTTTGCTATAAAATTCTTTTTCACCCTAAGTTGCACCCAGAACTTCACAGCTTAGTAGTTAGTAGGGTTTGGAATTAGCTCCCGTCTGGTATCTTCTCGTCTGTAGGAAAATTTAAATTATCTATAAACCAATTAGATCTTGTAACCATGTCAAATCTGTCCTATATTTAAAATCTTTTTGAATCTGTGTTTTCTATTTGTAGTTTTACCGTGCTTTTTGAGTTTTCTATTATGTCAATATGTTATGTGCGTCCGTCATTATTTGACTTCCTTTTATTCGCCCCTGAATAAAGCATATGTATAAAGAAGAAATAATAATGTAAAGACGAAATTCTGAATTTAGAAGCGATGAGGCATTGGAAATACCGAGTGACTGCAACAGAGGCAAGATAATTCCGATAATAACTTGATATTTTTTAAAGGTTCTCAAACAGATTTTAGACAAACGAGCAATAAAATGAAAAATTCTTTACATAAAAACAAATCACAAAACCCATAAGGAACTCACTTTCCAAGATCAAAACTACAAAGCTTGGCAAAATTTTCTTTGACTTTGTCATACGTCATACGCCTTGAGATCTTCAGTCTTCTTTTCGATCGGCTCGAAGCATAATCCAGCTCGAAGAGTCCAGTGCTCGCTTTCCTTGTCCAAAAATTCCTCCCTTTTCTTGGCCAATTTGGCCACAAAATCGGAATCATCTATGGCTAGTTTTGTAGAGGTTGATGAGCCTCAACGAAATTAAATTTTTTTTGTCAATTGCTTCCACGACATGAGTTGATTGTCCTGAACACGAACTTCTTACATCAACACCAATATATTTCATATATTAGGTTGATGCATAAGTGTTTTTGTTCCTTTTCGTCTGCCGTTTCAAGCCAACAAATGCACCAATTAAACTACGGTTGATTTCATTAGAAAAACCAATTATTTTTCTGCAAAATAACATTAAAACGGGTTTAAAAATATTTAATGCCTGGATTTTCTTGAGAGTATGAAGTCGGGTAGTCAAAAAGGGCTAACTCGATGATGCGGTTTAGACACCTTAGCTAAAGAAAACCTATCTTCGTGTCAATAGATAAAAGATAGAAAAAAAAGTTTGATATTTCGCCAAAATTTCAGAGAAATTCATTCAGCCAATTTTTCCGTAGAGTTTTTATAGATTTTTACGAAAAAGGCGTTTTTCACTCTCGAATTTGCTTGAAAGTGCACCGAAATTGATTTAAAAAGATGGAAATTGAACAAAAAAACACTTTTCTTATAGAGCAAACTATAGATTAATTGGTGAATTTGTTACTTTTTAACAGAAGTACGAAAAAAACGCAAGACTTATGCATCAACCTATTATTTCTGATATCGTTGGATTCAGTTCATCCAACTCTACAAAACTATACATAGGTCGACTGTTTGACCACACTATTTATAATTCGCGAACCTTAAGTTTCAACAGCTTTTATAGTTGAACACGAGGCCAATCTAAACCTTTTCGAAAGTCCAAAACTGAAAGCAATTTTAAACTTAAGCTCACAATGTTGCAAAATTTGTATGATATAGGATTTTCGATCAATCAGATCATCACTTTAACGTTTTCTTTAGGTTCTGTTGATGAATTGAGCTTAGATTTCATGCTTCCCTGCACAACTTCAACGACTTATGTAGTTAATTTAAAAAATGATATACAGACAAACAGATTTTAGACAATTAAACAAAAAAAAACGAAGAATTCTTTATCTGAAAACAAATCACAAAATCCATAAGGAACTCACTTTTCAAGAGCAAAATTATAAAGCTTGGCAACATTTTCTTTGACCTTGTCTATATACGCCTCTAAATCATCCGTCTTATTTGGCTTGTTGAAGCATAATTGAGCGTCATCCAAACTCGACTTGACGAGCGAAAATGGTGTTTTGTATGTTGCGTTCAATTTGGCCACAAAATCGGAATCATCTAAGTACTTTCGTGCTATGCCGACTCGCTCTTCCAACGTCAACGGTGCGAGAACCTCGCTAAATAAAAAAAGTTGTTACTCCATTGACTCTACTGTAAAAGTTGTCCCGATCTCTCAAATCAAAGGATGTGCGCGGCACCACGACAAAATCGACGATAAACGGGTGTCCTTCACTGTCGAGACCCAGATTTCGATTATGATCTTGAAGATCCAAGACGGAGTAGACGGCGAGCATTTGAACGACGGCTTCTTTGTAATCTGTGAAGTCGTCTGGCCGATTCCATTCGATCGCGTTTATTGTTCTAAAATATAAGCATTTTTATGTATAATATGTATACCCTACTCAAAGTTGATAATTTCGCGAGACACTATATAGATACGAGATTTGTATGCGTCATTGATGAATACAACTTCAGCCCCGATCCCGAGTTCTCGTAAAAACTTGTAGACGAACAACTCCTTCAAATCCGGGTTATGGCGGGCAACTGAAATTTTCGATTGAAGTATTTCGAGAGGAATTGAGCTGTGCTTCTAGATTAAATACAGTAATAGATGCTAGTTTTGCTACCAAGTCTCTAGAGAAAAATTTGAACCAGCATCTAATATAAAACATAGCGTAGCGAAGAAAACTCACAACAAGAGGCCTTTCGGTCACCAGCAGCGTGTTGTGCTTTAATGAAATATTTGATCGTCCTTCCGTTCATTGTGACAAGACAGATGGTTCCGTGGCGGGAGCCAGCCCATCGCCTATCAAAGTCGATGGTTGCATTATTGCCATAAAAGCTTTGAAAATAAGTTCTTGCCGAATCCTAAACAAAGAATTTCTTTTCGTTTTTGCTCTTTCCAAAAACTGACTTGAATTTGCTTCTGTGTTCGATCAAAGAAGATTGAAACCCTTTCCACAAGCTTCTTGTGTTCATCGTAAAAGTTATATACGAAGATCAATTTTGATTTGAACAGCATTGCATGAAGATCTTCACACTCTTGAAGGAGACGCGTTCGATGCGTTCGATCTAAGAAGATTGACACCCTTTCCACAAGATTGTTGCGTCCATCGGCAAATTTTGGATATAAGAGGATGAAATTGGATTCGAACAACATTGCTCGAAGAACTTTACACTCTTGATGGAGATACTTCTCTTTTTTCGTATCCTTTGTTTCAACGAGTTCGTCTACACATTTCAGCCAGCGTTCCCAGTGTGGCAACAGGGCGTGTTTCTAAAAACTAGCAGTGGATAAACTACACTAAACTAAACTTGTAAGATTTTTTGGTACTAATGTGGGGGCACCTAAAATTTTCCCAAGTGTAGTTTTTCTAGGGTAACTCATGGTGCTAATCAGGAAAAAAAACATTTTAAAGTTATGTTTTCAATCAAAAACTATATTCGTATTCGTAAATGTATTCGAATAATTTTTTTGTTTTGAAAAACGCTGCATGTACCTTTAACTTGG